ATACCAGCACCACACAGCACTAGCATCACCAGCCTCATCAGCATCACCACCCCTATCAGCATCACCACCCCTATCAGCATCACCACCACCCTCGTCATCAGCATCACCATCCTCATCAGCAGCACCACCACCCTCATCAGCATCACCACCACCCTCGTCATTAGCATCACCACCCTCATCAGCAGCACCACCACCCCCATCAGCAGCAGCATCACAAGCGAGCGGCATAATTCGCTGCACAGGAGGCACAACAAACCGATTCCCGAGCGTGCTAAAGGGTTCACTCTTAACAGCTGTACCACGCGTGCCTTTGTGTGGACAATGCGAGGCTAAAGTAAGGATGGTGAGAGTTATATTACAGACGTACGATTTGTGAATGTATTGCTCGTTTATACAGCATTTAACTTTCGTCTTAAGTAAAAGAAAACCTTCTTTGAATGTGTTAAATTATAGGGCAAGTTGTACACGTCTGTGTTTTAAGCTCACGATGGGAACATTTTCGGTTCAGAGACCTGGTTGGAGGGCAGCTTGTTCCATAATCCCTCCCGGGACGGTGACGTTCATATATTTGTCTCGCCATGGGAATGTGGAATTTCCACCGCAGGCTCAGGGCTGCAAACTCGTTGTTTGAACAGGGATAACATCTGCGGTACCCTTGCCACGTGCGATGTGTATTTGCCAGTGGCTTAGCCAGCTCCCTGCTCGGCGATTTGTCAAATCCCCAAAATGCGAAGCGTATGTAAAGTTAAATTGTATAAAAAAAGAAATTGCGTTTAAGCAATGACAGTCTCCCAGAGCTCCCTTACCAATAATCCATCGGCAATTGAGTTCGTGCCCAGTGTATTGGCAGGGACATTGATCCATCGAGAGCTACCCATTCAGATGACTCAAGCCGCCTCCTATTCGCCGGTTTTTTTGTGAGTTTTTTTTTCTTCCGGCGTCAATCAACGAGCAAAATGTGTGATCCCAAGTCCCCGCCGCGACGTGGCGCGTTAATCCCCGAGCTCACGCACCTCTCGACTCGGCCCTTCTCCGCTCTCCCGGTAGCAGCAAAGCAGCGGTTGGCAAGAGTGACGAATAAACACGGCAAAAACAACAACAGCAACAACATCAACAACATCAACAACACCCAAAGCCGTATTGAGTCTCCGCCAGAGTACTGTGCCACAATGTCGTCCCTGCACCCACCCACCCACCACCCCACCGTGTGAGCAGCCCAGTGCTACCCCAAGTGCAAGAACAGCGGCCAGTGCCTCCGGCCAGGGAAGTGTCGCTGCCTGCCCGGCTATGGAGGCCGCTACTGCCACAAGGGTGAGCTTGGGGGGGGAGGGTAGTGCCTCCTGGCTCCGTCGGTCACCCCAGAGGTTTTTGCTGCTTTTTTGCAGTTTTTTTCCTGGATTTTTCTGTTTGCGCACTTTAGGATATTTTCTTGTTCATGTTTTAGTTTTTTGTTTGTTGCGGTTGCACCCGATTCAAGAGACGAATGGCTCACAGGGCTAAAGCAAATAAATGAAACTGAAAAAACTGAGAGGTAGGGCTGAACGATGAAACAATTTCAAATCGAAATTGCAATTTGAAACAAACAATGCGATGAGCGAATGGCAAAGGCTGCGATTTTTTTGCGATTTGAAAAGTTCTGTTGCTTATTGGAATTGTTTTATTTTATGATTATAACTTTATTTATTTATGTAACTTTGATTGTTCTATTTCAATTTAAACATTTTTATAAATACATGTTGGAAGCAATTAATATATTTTAAGTTCTCATCCTTGCATTAGAATATATCGAGCATGTTCATATTTTTATGGTATCGTGTGGTAATGCTCCATCACATGTTTTAAATCTATTACACAGTGAATATTGAACTGAAGCTTGACTTACAAATTTTTTTATCGCAAATCAAATCGCAATCGCAATATCTGTCGGAAAAATCGCAATGAGATATTTTCCCCAAAGCGTTCAGCCCTGTCCCAGAGCCTTCTGGGGGCGTTGCTTGAAATGAGAAGACGCTCTGTCGTTATAATCAGCCGTGGTCAATCAACCGCTGGACGAATGCCTCCCCCCCCACCTTTCACGAGCCGGAAATATTAAACGTCTCGCGCCTGCACGCCGGCTTTCTCGATTGAAAACTCAGTTATTTAGAGCCAATTTTTGTGCTTTCGTTTGCTGTCCTTCCCGATTTGCGCGGTTGGCTACACCTACGGTGCGAAAGAAGTTCAACGCACGAACACATACGAGCTGATGTCATCCTCTCTGACGCATCCCATCCCTTGACTGCCACTCCACATTGACTCTTGACCATCAGCCACGCTGCTCTGCTCGAGCCAAGGAGCCGAGACGCCACGCAGCCATGGGCCCTGCAATGGGCCCCTTCTCTTGTGTTAGCAATTTACTCGCTTGGTGTTGGCAATTCACTTGTGTGGTGTTAGCAATTGCTTCGTTTTCCGCCGGACAAATATCTAAAGTCGCGACCCAGGTGCTAAGACCCGCACCTCGGGGTTTGTCTCTCTTCTGCGTGTGCAGCCGTCTGCGAGGGCGGCTGTCTGAACGGCGGCGAGTGTGTGCCCGTGCACGCCAGCGTGAAGTGCTCCTGCAAGTCTGGCTGGGCCGGCCCTCGCTGCCAGGACGGTGAGTGAGCCGCAAGCATCACAGCCGTGGCCGCCGTCATCATCTCCCGACAGAAAGAAACGCACCGCCCGCCATCAACCTCCCCGCCAGCAGCCACCGACGGCTCAACCACACTCAGTCTGTCTTAACTAGCAACGCTCAACCACAGTCAGCCAGCTTCCTGTCTTAACTAGCGACACTCAACCACAGTCAGCCAGCTTCCTGTCTTAACTAGCGACACTCAACCACACTCAGCCACCCAGTAACACTCACCCATCTGCATTCATCTTCCCGTAGTTTAGTGCGTGTGTTTAGTTTGTTGCGCTGCCACCCCTCGCCGCCCGCACCTACGATTGGCACGGTTGGCTACGTACGGTGCGAAAGAAGTTCTACAAACAAACGCACAACTCGTTCAAACAGACAATACTGCCAGACCCATCACTCGCCCGTCAACAAGCGGACACATCCACCCACCACCATCCACCCGCAGTAAACGGATTGCGGTGCTTGATCATGTTGAATGTTTTCCATAAGATGTTTTTTTTTGGGGTTAGATCGGGTAAATAAATAAATTAACGCGATCGCGTAAATAAATAAATGTACGCGATCGCGTAAATAAATTAATGTACGTGATCGCGTAAGTAAATACATTTATAAATAAATAATTTTACACGATCTAACCCACAAAAAAAGCTCCTATGGATGATATTGATCGCGAAAGCGTACATGTTAAATGTTAAATATTTGCTTGCTTGAGCACAAGGGTAAGCTTTCGTTGGTGGCCTTCTGTAATTCCTCATGCATATCGATTCTGCACAAATGTGTCCGATTATAATATCTAAATACGACGGTCCCTTTTTTTTACTTGCACTGATTTTTTTTTTAGTGCAATGAGGCCTCAGCCAAGTTATCATCACTGCCCCTGTGTCACTGTCGTCTTGTTGCTGGCCCGCGTGTATCTTGGTGGGTCTCGAGGAGCTTTGTGTGACTCTTCTGCTGCCCCCATCCAGCCGTGTGCCCACAGGGCTGCCGCAACGGTGGCAACTGCGTGACCCCGGGCATCTGCAGCTGCCCCCGGGGCTGGGAGGGAGGCGCGTGCCACATAGGTGAGGGTGGCGCGTGTGGCTAAGGCGAGGGGGTGCGCTGCGTTCGATATGCACCGTAGCTTGTACTCATCCCCAGCACATTTTACGACATCGTTATTCATCGTGGGATCTCCTTTGCCAGTACCAAAATATGAGAATGGGTTTTCCCCTTTTTTGGCAACAAAACAGCTGTGTTAAGATGTTAAAACACCAAAATGAAACCTTTAAAAATGAATCATGTCTGCATTAACCACAATACTTGTGGTCAGAATGCAAACAAAAAAGTTGAGACTAGGCTCAAAAGGAAGCTGTCTCTGGTGTGGACCAATCAGTTTCAAAGACAATGCATATACTATCAGAGTATTTTTGTTTGCATTCTGACCACAAGCATTGTGGTTAATGCAGACATGATTCCTTGGAAAAGGTTTCAGTTTGGTGTTTGAACATCTTAACACAGCTGTTTTGTTGCCAGAAAAAAGGGGAAAACCTATTCTCAACATTGTATTCGTTTTGGTCCATGTGGCCGGCCTAGTGTCTTGACGCGTCCGCCGCTCTCTGTTGCCGGCTTGTGTGTAACCCACCCCCCCCCCCACCCCCAGCTGTTTGCGGCAAAGCCGTGCCGCAACGGAGGCAAGTGCGTGGCTCCGGGAAAGTGCCGTTGCCGCTCGCCCCACGCCGGCCCCCAGTGCGCCGACCGGCTCAAGGTGTGAGAAGCCTGGAGGGCCCCCACCCCCCATGGGCCCACGTCCTCTGCAAGTCCCAGGGTGCTTCCGTGATCACAGTGATGATGACGACAATGAGTGGTTGTGCATTAAAAACGACGACCGTGCTCTCAGTTGACCGGACTTGCAGCGGCTTGCCCACCGGAGCCCCCCTCCACCCCCGCTCTCTCCACCACTCTACCACCAGCGTCCATCTCACGCAGCCACCACAACACACACCATTCACGGCTCTCGTGCTGGTCTGATAGCCCGTCTCTGGGCTCACCGTTTGGGGCAACAGTTTTACACGATGAAAAGCCATTAGCAGGCTTTTTTTTAATGCCCTTGTTTTCTTGGAAAATAAATGCACCGCACACACCGGAGCTGTCTGATGTTCCACGAACGGTCTGCACTTCCCGTTTATGGCAAGGACATCAAGGTCCCACGCCCACGCGCATGCATACTGGCTATGCATCGACTTCCACACGCACAGCAGTGCTACGTGACGGTACATCTGCAAGTGTGCAACTTAAACATGTAAGCAGCTGTGGAGGTGTTTGTGTGTGTGCACACGTGTGCACAGAATCAATGCAATCACGACATGCCTACCTTCACCTACTCCACGAGTACTTTATTAAATTACAGATACCAGTGAAGAAAACCATACCTGTGTTGCTTTATTTTATATCTTACAGAATATACAGTTTTTTTCAAAGTTTCTTGTGTTTGTGTTTAAGTTTGGTAAAAACATAGCATTGCCGCGGTTACATGAAGTGTGTCGTCTCCATTTAAGCAGTTTTAAGATATTCCAGACAATATCTCTTGAAGATATGTACAATTCCCTTTGTACAACACAAAGTACTTGTTAAGAAAGCTTAACAATAACTTATATTGTTCTGGTATTCAGTGGCAGCAGGCGTTCTAAAGAGAAAAACAAACATTGATTCCTATGCCACAGTCGGTGACGTACCGGCTAAGATGTCTTGCATGTAAAAATGTTCCCTGTGAAAATAAATACGTGAAAAATTGTCCTACCAAACTAACAACTCTTGTTAAAAAAAAAACACGTGGGAAACGCCTAGGGGAGGGTTTCAAAGCCTCTTGGTCTGCTTGCGGAGGTAGATGTGACCAGACCGACACCCACACCCAGTAAGCCACTCCACCACATACAAAGGGTTAGGCCAAAGTACAAACACAATTTTAAAAAATACAAGTTACAAAAAGCCAAGGACCCTGCAGAAACCAACCGCAGTTGGTGTGTGCAGATTATCGGGGTGCCCCCCCCCCCCCCAAGTGAATGAGCACCGTAGCCTCGCTTGATTGCAGATCCTTCTTCTCAACAAGTCCTGCCGTTTCGGCAGGTGATGTCAGCACGCACGTGCTCCTCTTCATTCACTTCCCCTGCCTCGCCGCTAACTGCAAAACAAACAAGTCGCACTTTGCAATAAAACGAACGTGTCCTCTGTCGACCCGTGGGAGGGGGGGAAGGGTCTCTTCAGAGATTTCGTTTTGTTTTTTTGGAAACAACAAATGTCATGAGCAGGTGGGGGCCCACCAGACCTTTGGTCCAGCTCCTCTCAGATGGAGAGCGGGGGGGGCGGGCAGAAAGCCTGTTGTGTGGGCACCATGACGATGGTCATACACCGCGAGGGAGAGTGAACTTGGCTGGGCCAAAGAGACATTTGGATGGTGCAGGGCCCATCCCAGCAGGCCCCCTCGCGTCAGCTCGGGGTCAAAATCGTGACGACTGTGGGAAGCCGATGCTGAATCAGCCGCATGCAGCAGACTGCCTCTCAGGGCCCTTATTGCCATGATTATTGACTCGCGTGAAGAGCAAAATAAACTGCACTTTTAAAACAAATTCATTTTGGTAATGTGCAGGAGCAGCCGTGTTGTTTTTGGAGTTCTCAAAATAATTCCTCCGCTCAGCTTGCGGCAATAATAGCAACTCACGTGGGCAGCGGGGACTCTCACCCGAACGATTCACATCCGAAAGCCAGCAGCCTGAAAAAAACCTAGAACCATTCTCCCCAAATGAACGCTCAGCAATAAAGGTTTCAACGGCTGCGGGGCGAGGCGGCGGCGTCGTCGTCGTTCCCTTACCCTGCGGCCGCACGCGAAGCCGGAGAAGCCCGGCCGGCAGGAGCACGCGTTGGGAGCGGTGCAGCGGCCGCCGAACTTGCACGTCTGCTGGCACACGGCTGGGCGGCGACAGCGGAGAGCAAAGAGGCACAACGAACAACCCCGGCTCACTCGGCATCTCGGCCACGGAATACGCGCACGCGCGCACGCAAACCCGGTGAACCTCTTCTTGGTTCTTTCGGTAAAGTCACGTTAAATAGATTCTCACTAGAATTTATTTTATTATGTTTTCTTTTTATTATGTTATTATTTCCATTCTACGTGACTTTACCGAAAGAACCAAGAAGATGAATCCCTGCAGTCACGAAAGCTTTAAATCGAAAAATCCCAGTGAACCTCTTAGAAATAACGGCGCAAGCCACAAGCGCACGGGGCACGAAGGGTTCTATCCCGCTGGTTTCGGTCGCGCGGGGAGGACGGGGCTGCGATGGAGCTGTGCGCCGCGATCCATGCCGCCAGTTCCGTGCAACTCCAGTGCCGCACGAACACATTCCCGTGTCATGGATAACGGAGAGCACTGCGCGCGTAGATTTTTCACTTCTGGCTGGAAAGTGGAACAATCTGGCCTAAATCTTGACTGAAAGCTTTCGTGACTGCAGGAATTGGCTCTTTCGGTAAAGTCACGTAGATCGGTTCAAAGAAAATAACAACACAAGCGTGCTTCCTGGTGACGAACGCTTGTGTTGCGATCGAAACGTCGTAGTTTTTGGTAAGTTTTTTGTTATTTTTTTTAACCGATCTACGTGACTTTACCAAAAGACCCAAAGAATATGAATCTGGCCTAGTTCACATGAACCCAGGCGCGACAAGTAATTTACAATCTTTATACTTTCGGGAGATTAGAACCCAGGAAACAATCTTTTTCTGAAAAGCTGCTTGCTGCTGACTTGCACAGTCTTGCTAATATCCCAAAGCGTGTGATTAAATGCACCCCCCCCCCCCCAGGTACTTGCTCAACACAATCTAAACTTCAATTACTATTCATTGCACTGCGACAAACGCTCAAAGAGCCGCGTAATTACTCACGGTTTTGACAGTGCATGCCCTCCCATCCCTCGGGGCAATGGCAGCTGTTGGGGCCGATGCACTCTCCGCCGTTCTTACACTTCTGCAGGCACACGGCTGCAAAGGAGGCAGAGGGCAAGCAAACACAACCAGAGGCTTCCACCTCATCAGAGCCAAGAAGGGCCCAGCAACAGCGCCCGCATTATAAAGCGCGCACAACCTGGCAATGTACGCGTCAGAGGGGACCTTTTTCAAACCCTCCGGAGATGGAGCGATGAGATCGGCTCGTGTGCAGATTCTAGGAGTGTGTTCAATCTAGATTTGAAGTTTTCGTGACTGCAGGGATGCATACTCTTTGGTTCTTTCGGTAAAGTCGCGTCGTGATTTTATTTATTTAATTTTGTACCTACGCGACTTTACCGAAACTAACCAAAGAGTCTAGGTGTGTTGTTACATTTCAGAGCCATGAGAGATGGCCGACAGATTTGGGAATGCCTTCATCCGGTGGTGGATTAATCCTGGCAGATGATTGTCACAATTCCGGATCGTGATTCGATCTAAGATTCGATTCCTCCTCGTCTTATTTCTGTCATCTCCTTTGGGTCCTTTCTAATTTTCGCTTTCTCTCATTGGCACAGTTTTGTCCAATCCATCAGCCTCAATGTAACATTAGCATAATGTTTACTTACATACAATCTACGTAATACATTCTCATACCTACTATTGTATGCATGTGTAGTGACTGACTCGAAGACGCTACAGCTAACAGGCTGCCTGACGAGTTGAAGCCGGTGACGAGGACTCCGGCATCACTGACGGGTTCCACTCCCAACCAACAGCCCTCAACCTTCGCTCGGGGGGTCCCCCTTCTATCCACCCCGCGTGGCCCCCCTCCGCCTTCGGCCACGCACCCCTTCTAGAACTCACGAGAAGGTTCCCATGCTTTACCACACGTCCCCTCTATCCCCCTTGTCTCGCGTCCCCTTCTCCCGGCTCACGACCTCCTGCTGGCAGACAGGGCTACTGCACCTGCGGATCCCTCTCTGTGCCAGCAACCAGCCGCTCTGTGCCATCGTGACGCATTCCCTGTCACTGCACATGTTCCTGAGCACAAAGACCCATTTTGATTGATGTTCTGCACTTAGCGCTTACAATAAGCCTACTTCCATAGGTCAGTTATTATCAAATCTCAAGGTATTCCATGAAAAAAGTTTGGGTGGGTGGCGGAGAATTGGAGATTTTGCTCTGGCTGAGATGACTCCCCTCGCCCGTAATTAGCAGCGGTACAGACCACTGCTGGAACCCGGAGATCACCGTGCGTGTGTGTGTGGGGGACTCAACTCAACCTGCTAGGGCAGCAAGGTGCCATTTAGATTATAGCAGGAGAGCAGCTACTGTTTCTGGCTTTTATATACAACTGTTAATTGTTTATGCATGTATGTTGAACTTCTTTCGCACAGTACGTAGCCAATTGTGCCAATCAGAGGTGTGGGGGAAGGACAACAAACTAAACACAAAAGCCAGTTCGAAATAAATCAGCTTTCAATCTACATTTAAAGGTGCGTAGCTCCAGTGGCTTCCTAATATCAGAAGAAAGAGCATTCCAGACGGCCGCAGAGGCGCATCTGAAAGCGCACGATGAAAGTGACCATCTTTGTTTGATGGCTATCCAAGCAATCCTCTCGGACATTGGGTTTTCTTTGGGTGTTCCGGTCTGGTCCCACGTGTAGAGCGGCCATTGTGGAAATTGGTGAATCTCACAATGTATAACCTTCACAAAGGGGTCTTTAAAACCGCACGAGAGTTTCATGAGTGAAGATATTGAATGCGAGTGTCATGGTGTTATGTGCCACGGCTTTTTTAACAGTGAACATTGTGATTGAGGAGGGTGGCTGGTTTACGAGCACCGAGCGCTGTTCAGAAAAGCACTCCGCATTTTGGAGGACGTTTACATTTTTTTCACAGCTGCCAGTTTTGAAATACCCGTTCATTACGGTTATTCTTCGCGCGGTTTATACAAAGTTCACGCGAAAACGGAATGGCTCCCTTTTTCCAGGGGCACGATCCTGTTTCCACAAACAGGGACTCGCAAAACTGAAGCTGTGCGCAACCGCTCTACCTCACAGCACGTGCCTTTCGTCGACGGCGCTTGCTTCTAGCAGATGCAGCATTTTTTTATATTCAAGAATCGTGCCCACCGCTGTGGTTGCAGTATTCTTCATCTTCGCAGGTCAGACTCCTCGACCATTTCACCTTTGCTCAGCCCCAGGCATTCTCTCCTAAATCACCCATCGCACTTCAATTACCGCTCGCTGCCGAGCGATTAGACGAGACTTACGGCGATTGCAGCGTTTTCCTTTAAACCCGGAGGGGCAGGAGCAGACATTGGGTCCCACGCACTTCCCGCTGTTCATGCACGTGGGCTCGCACACGCCTGCACAGCCAGACACAGCACAGGGGACCCACGGCGAAATCTGAAATTGCGGCCTGGCCTGGATGCCCGCTGCCAGTTATGCGCGCGCGCTATTGCCGCCTGGGCATTCCTGAAAGCAATCCAGAAATATGAATTCAACGCGCGCTCAAATTAACTGGTCGATAAATATTTCTTGAGCTCGCAAAAACCCGAGCGTTGTTTTAGGGGTTTTTTTTTCCTCCGCGTGTGATGCGGACGACCGAAGCGAACGGCTCGCGGCTTCGAGTCGGCTCAAATAAAGTTCCATCCGCGGACTTACGATTCCAGCGGTAGTCGTCTCGGCCAACTAGTTGTATATTTGAACAGCTGTGTAAGTACACGGGGGGGGGGGGGGTTGGGCGAGCTGGCAAGTTGTGCTCAATGAACGTCTCCCCCCAAGCGTGTCCGTCACGATGCTGTCTTTATTGTTATTTGCGCACGTGCAGTCTTACAGACAATCCTCTTAAAATGAAAGCATTTTGAACATTTTCACGGCAGAATCGTTCTGCTTTCATTAGCGATGATCGTGATGACGACCGACGATAAAGATAACGACGCCAGCTCACTCTTTTGACAGCGGCGGCCCGTGTATCCCTCGCTGCAGGAGCAGATGTTGTTGCGCATGCAGTGGCCGCCGTTCTTGCAGGGAGGGCTGCAGATGGCTGGAAGTGCGGGGCGGGGGGGGGGCGGACAGGTGAATTTGCACGTTTAGCTCGGATACTCGGACGGCGCGACAGGCCCCCCCAGAAAAAGTCGTCAGCCGGCGCGAGGGTCCGGGACTCACCGTTGTGACACTGAGCTCCGAAGAAGCCGTGCGGGCAGAGGCACACGCCGGGGCGCACACAGGCTCCCCCGTTGAGGCACACGGGGCTGCACACGGCTGTCGCACATTCATTAGGAGACGGTTGAAACGGCGACACGCTGAAATGGATCGTAAAAGCGATGAATTCCGAATCGCGAGCAGGTTTGGCGGCTTCACGCAAAAACTAAAAATGCCTTGACCCAGTACGAGCCCGAGATAAACCCGGTACAATATTACCTCCGGGTCACAAAGTGCGACTCTTTGATTTCAGTAAAAAATTAAAAATAACGTTGGCAGCAGCGGCAGCAATATTTAGAGTACAGAGCCCTGTGTTTGGCGGCCGTTGATGGCGGCACGCGCCGTTGTCTGCGTGCAAAGCCGGAGCTGGGCGCTCTCTCACCGCTCCCGCAGGTCGGACCGTCCCAGCCCGGGGAACAGCGGCACACGTCCGGGCTGACGCACTCCCCTCCGTTCTCGCAGTGCCTGTTGCACACCACTGCACACGCACGCACAAACACGCACGTGGCGCACACATGCGTGCGCACACACGCACGCACGCGGCGCGCGGTTCACGGCTCAGCATGCATGCGTGCCACGTCTCGCGAGCGCTTAGCGATCGCTCCTCAAGAGCGGCTCCGTGCAAACTGTGCTGTGCATTTAGGATACGGTCATGGCTGCCAGATTTCTTTATGTTTTGGTAAACAGCGGCCAAGCCTCTAGGCAGAAGGGCTCAGCGGTGCCTTATTTGCCGAACTGGAGCCCGTAACAGAGCGGAAATGTTCGACGATAAATGTTCTCAATAGCATTAGCACAGCAGCTTAAACACGAAGCCAAATGTATAGTCTGCCGCGAGACAGAGACGGCCTCTCGCACAAAGCAGAGCGACACTTCGCGTGGGGCGCACAGCGGTGTTGGCCGAGTGGCCACAAGGAAAAGCAGCTGGAACTTACTGGTCTCGCATCTGGGGCCCAGGTATCCGTAGGGACAAGAGCACAGGTTCCTGGCGACGCAGGCTGCCCGCGTTCTGACAGGCCGGTGTGCACTCCACTGCGTGAAAATCAAGCCGAGTGGCAGCACGGGCGGAAGGGGAAAAGCGCATCACGCGCCGGGCACGCAACGCGTTCTGTCACGCGGTCATCAGAGCAGCGAGGGGGCAATCTCAAGAGTCTGGAGGTGCGAGGGCAAGGCAGCCCGTAAAGGAGCGAGCGTCGTGTGAAGCTTCACCTTCCTCGCAGATCGGCCCCTTGTAGCCCAGCGGACACTCGCACACGTCCGGCCTCACGCACTTGCCCTGGTTCTTGCAGTCTGGCCTGCATACGGCTGAAGGGGACGCCACGTGCTCAGGGCCACGGGAACAGGTCCAAGCCCCGTTGACGCCAATCCGGCGGGTACCGCTGTCGTTCTAACGCAACGCAAAAGTCGCCAGACTCGGCCGACAAAACGCTCGAGAGAAACCGCGACGCGATGAGAAGTTTTCCCACCGATGAGGCAGTTGTAGCCTGTGTAGCCGGGCTTGCATCGGCACGTGTTGGGGGCGGAGCACTCCATGTTCTTGCCACAGGCGTAGCGGCAGAGCGCTGTGGCGACAGCACGGACGCGATCGCAAAGGTTACGGGAATTTCGCCGAGGACGACGATCGAGGTCAAACGCAAAGCCGGGCGGAACGTTCGGATTTGCCGGGTCTGCTCCTCGCCGCGAACGAGACGGACTCTGCGGCGCAGCGCGGCGTGAGCGCGGCGCGGGGCCAGGGGGCGGCACTTGCCTCGGCAGGACTCGCCGTCGCCGTAGTAGCCGTGAGGGCAGCGGCCGCACTTGTATCCGGCGCCGCCGGCCGGGGACTCGCAGAGGACGCCCTTAAAGCACGGCGAGTCGGCGCACGACTGCCCGGCCTTGCCGAGGCGCGGGGCCACCTCATTATGCTGATGCGTCAAGCCCGGGGGAGGTGGCGTCATCGCGGCGGCGCCGTTCGCGGTGGCCGCTTTCTTCCCGTGCGCAATGGCGGGCGGCGGCGCCAGCGCTTCGGATGCCGCGGGCGAAGGACCCCTCTCGTGGTCGGCGACGGATGGCGCTCCGGTCAGGGACCCGGCGGTTTTGGGCCCAGCGCCCAGCTGAGCGTGTTTTGACCGCCCCTGCGTGCCGGGGTCGCCCGTGTGCGCCGAGCCACGGTGAAGCGTCCCGGAGGACGGCCTCTGTTGCACCGCAAGCGACGGCTTTGGTGCTCCGGACAGCGAGTGCTGGGCGACAGCGGCCCGCACGGGGGGCAGCCGTGTCTCGTGAGGACCTTGGGTCAGGCGGGGGGGTGGGGGACGATGACAAACGGGGACATTTACGTCTCAAATGACCGTGAAAACAGCACCGACGGCCACAGCTCAGGCATGACATTTACACAAGCGAATCATCAGGATTCCAGGTGGGCAGGAAGGGCACGAGTCTGGGCGCTGCTCCCCGCAGCGCATGGATTCTCAGGAATGGGACATTTACAAGCCACCAGCCGCTTGCTGCACTGCTTATAAAACTTTACGGTGTTTCCTGTGCAATTGAAACCTGCGCAGGTTTCGCATTCCCAGACCCCCAGCCGAGAGACTTATTCGTGCTAAGAATAGGGGTCTCATTATGTTCATTTTATGCCGTTAAAGAGGAAATGGTATAACGTTCAATTATAAAAGGTGCAATTAACCAGACTCTTTTGACAAAGGGCAACCACCGCTTTAATTGTATGCACACCCATTGCTTTAAGAAAATCCTCACCAAGGTCATACAATCTCGGAAGATTAAATCACCACCTCAAATTGAAGGTGTAAAATATAAATGAAGTTAAATCCTGTAGGAGCACGTGTTCACGACGTGCATTATGCAGTCCATAACACGTGTTCCTGTCAATGCTCAGAAACATTTTCCAGGCCTTTCTGCGAGGCCTGTCCATAACTCCGCCTCCCTCACAATTGCTACAATTCATGGTTGCGATTCAATCCACGAATCAATATACAATATTGGTGAATATAGTGGCCTCCAGCGGTTAGAGGGGTCAAGTGGTCATGGTTAACGCATATATATTATGAAAATAGACGTTGAGTCTTACGCACGGGATTCGATGCATACACCGTGAGCTTAAGAATAATGACGAATCAGTGCAATCCTACTTCCAGCACCGCAGAATCGAAAGCTGTGGGCCACTGTATTGTGACACGCCACGTGAGAAAATAACTAAATACAATGCGACGTGGAGCACGGATGGGGAGAGAACTGAAACAAGGGGACGACTCGTCAACGGATGGACAATTTCACGTCAGAGTGACGATGAAAATTAACCCTGGCCTTCGGGCAAACTTGTAAAACACTCCTCGGTATCGTGCCGATGAGTCTATGGGCAGCCCCGTGGCATTGTGTCAGAGCATTGGTGTGTGCCTGTGAGATAGATCTCGAGTGAGCCCCTGGTAAGATAAAAACATATTTATTTTCATTTGTATATTTTTTAAGCGACTTGTTTAACTTTCCTGTACTTTGCACTCAAATCGTGTTTTTTTTTTATTGTTTGTTGTTGTAACGTACTGACCTGCCCCTCTTGGACACCTCATCGGATTCCTCCAGTCGAAATAAATCTGATAAGAGCTTAACTTGGCCCACTCTTCCACGTCGGTGAGACATCTTGGAGGAGGCGTGAAGTTACCACTCTTTACAGCGCGACCGTGCCGATCGACTGACCCATTCTATAGCGCTGGGTGGACGGAGGCGGGGGTCGTCGAGATTTAAGAAACGCGCACCGTTGGTTTCAACTGCTGCATCGGTAAGTCTAACACGGCGGCGTCTGGGTCGCAATGCGCTAACCGCCACGCGCTGGCTGCGTGCCCCGTCGCTTGTTGTATTGTGAGCGCGTTGCGTGTTCAGAGTCCGTTGCGGGCGAACCGCGAGCCTCTCGCTCACCTCGGCCACGCAGCTTGGTGCAGGTGCGGCCGTTCCCATAAAGCCCTGGTGGACAGCGGCCACACGCGGTGCCGGCGGCAGGCGGCCTGCGCTCGTGGCACGGAACACCGGGGAAGCAGGGGTTACCGGCGCAGCCTGCCACGCGCTCTTGGGAAACACAAAGAGTCGCGCAAGGTCACGGCCGTCAAACAACGGTCATCTTGTCCACACACGGGCACAGCGCTGCGCATGCGTGCTCGCGCTAAGAACCGCTCGCTCTAAAACTGGGGTCCGGCAACCAGAGTAACAAGAGGAGGCATTTTTTTTCTTCCGAATTTGTTAAAAACGTAATATTTCACAAGCCGCGATGCGTGTATTTAATACGAAACGGTGGCCCTTAAATCAATAACGCGACTAAACATTCCATGAATAGCCGCGTTCGACCCTGGAGCCGCAGGTTTGACAACCCCCCCCCCCCCCCCCGCTCTAAGAGCACACTGAGAACAAGATCCTGCGCCACCGGCCGTGGTTGCCCTGCGCCGCGCCCACGTTGGCTGGGGGTGTAAAGATGCGCGACGATTTTATGAATCGACATCAAATCTCAAGCTGGAGGTGGCCGGATTCAAGCTCCTGCCATGTAATTTGAAACAACGGTGCAGCTTCTTGAACCCCTCCCCTCCCTGCGTCGCGTGTGATAGGGGAAGGTGTGGGCACACCCAACTCGACATGCGACCAGCTAGGAAGAGTAGGCCAAATACCCTCCAGAGGGGCTTTCTAGAGGCCCTTCTGCCGGCGAATGGCGCGAGCAAAGCAATTGCAAGGCTGCACCTCTTAAACAATGGTATGCATCGTGTCGTCGCCTCTGCTTGAATCAATGTTTTTAGATTCCCACATGTTGCGTTGTGAAGAGTTCACGTGATAAAAAAAAAAATACGATTGCTGTATCGGAACCATGGCTTCGCTCCAAACATCGTGCCAATCGATTAAATCGCCACGGCGGGCCGGTGAATCGTTTTACTTCCCTCGTGTTCCCGGAACACGTGCCCTGGCTGAGTGCGCCGGACCGCTGAGTAGAACATATTGAGACTTTTAACCATGAGCAGAGTTAGACTTGACGTGGCCAAACAAATTCACACAAGCGGCCTAAGGATTGCCAGGTTTGCCGAAAAAAGTGGGGATGGAAAAGTCACGATGTGTGCCGTGAGCGAAAGAACGCCGGTTTCCTGTCGAACGTTGGAACTTTCCAGTGAATTAAAATCCCCTTGCGGCATTCCAGCAAACAATCCTAAAGGAGTGGTTTTATTTTTTTATTTCTCGCGGTATATTGTAACTAAACCATAAGTGGAATATCGCGTGGAGATTGAACAAAAACATCAATAACAACAAGCACAAATAACAAAAACTCAAAACACAAGTCCATAACACTGCTAACGTTTAAAACGATATATTGACCCTTCTTCATGGTGGAAGCGTTTACTTCACCTACAACCATCACCTCTGCTATGACTAAAAGCCATTGCCCAGTACGTCACATGTGATATGATTATATGTGCCGTACATATTTGGTGACGTTGATCGATGTCTTGAGGGTTTGACACGAAATAAGATCACCCAGGAAAGCCTCACTCACACAAATTCATCTTTCAGTACCGTTCCTACTAAAGACGTTTATCCAATTCCTTACCGAGTAAATATATATTTTTGTTCGTTGGAACATTACTTTGACGATCAAACTTCTTAGAGCCACATGGCCATCCGTTGCTCTTTAATAACAAAACTGAAACCTTTTTACAAGGATTCATGTCTGCATTAACCACAATACTTGCAGTCAAATGCAAACAAAAAACACACTGATAATATATGCATGTCCTTGAAACGGATTGGTCCACACCAAGGGATGGCTTTCTTTTGAGCCTCGACCCAATTGGTGCTCGACCAGAGGACGCCAAAAGGCGTACAGCTCAAAGACAATGCACTATCAAAGTAATAAGGGCTCGGGGTGAGCATCTACATCATTAGACCTCCTTTGCCAGTACCAAAATATAAAAAGGGGAAAAACTCTATTATTATATTTTGGTACTGGCAAAGGAGGTCTAATGATGTAGTTGCTCCATTGGAACCTCATTTGCCAGTAGCAAAATATGATAATTGTTTTTTTACCCTTTTATCTGACAACAAAACTGACGCCTTCTTTTTACAAGGAGTCATGTTTGCATAGACCACAATACCTGCAGTCGGAATGCAAACAAAAAACATAACTCTAATCATTTATGCACTGTCCTTGATTGGTCCACACCCGAGACAGCTTTCTTTAGAGCCTAGCCTCGAACCATGTGAGACTAGGCTCTAAAGAAAGCTGTCTCGGGTGTGGACCAATCAATTTCAAGGAAAGTGCATAAATGATCAGAGTTATGTTTTTTGTTTGCATTCCGACTGCAGGTATTGTGGTCTATGCAAACATGACTCCTTGTAAGAAAGGTGTCAGTTTTGTTGCCAGATGTAGTTGCTCTTGAGTCATTCTAACTCCGCCGCATTCACGACGACACTTGCCAGGGCGCACGGGCTCGGGTGCCGCGCGGTGCTGGGCCGCCACGCGTGACGCATCCCCGTCCCCCGCTCCCTCCTCGCTGGGACCTCGCTCTGCCAGGCTGGGCCGGTGGGGGGCCGCGGCCGTCCCGACGTCCACGGGCCGGGAGGAGCGCCCGGCCGCCTCCTCGGGGCCTTCCCTGTGGCCGCCGGTGCCCGGTCCGGGGGGCCCTCCCAGCCCCGCCGCTTGGGTGGGGCGAGTGGACGGGGCTCTCGAGGTGGTGGAGATGGTGGTGGTGGTGCCGGCGGTGATGGCTGGGCAAAGACAAAGCATCGCCCGTAAGGCCTTCGAAGACTGTTGGGACAAGTGCTGTTTAGCGAGCACCTGTGAAGGCCGGCACGACGCACGAAGGGGTTGGGTGGCCAGCACCACGCCCCGCCGCCTTTGTCTCCCCAGTGGCGATGTTTACACATCGCACTAGATCCTCATTTGTATGTATGTATGTAGAACTTCTTTCGCACCGTCCGTAGCCAACCGTGCTAATCGGAGGTTTCGGGGGAAGGACAACAACCGAAACACAAAAAGCAGCTCTAAAGAAATGAGTTTTCAATGTCGCTGATTTAAAAGCGCATAGCTCCAGTGGCTTCATAATATCGGAAGGAAGAGCATTCCAGACGGCCACAGAAGCGCATCTGAAAGCGCGCAATGCGTTGACCGGCTTTGTTCGATGGCCAGCCAAAAGCCCACTGCTGCTGCGAGCGCGAGCGTGCGAGCGCTGTGTGCGGAGGCCTCACGCGAGCAGGCGCGCCCGTCCCCCCGGTGGCCCGCTGGACAGGGCCCACAGCGGAAGGAGCCCATGCTGTTGGCGCACGGCACCGCGGCAAAGCACGGCCGTCCCCGGCACTCGTCCACGTCGTGGGCGCACGCCGGGCCTGTGGCGTCAACCATCACGGCAAAAAAAGACAAAAGTACGACGGCGGTTTGCGTTGGTGGGGAGTTGTTTGGCGGCCATTCGTGGGGACGCCGTCAATGAAAGCCGCTGCGAGTTGCTAGCGTCTCCGTAATCATCGTCGTCGTAATCACCGTGGTTGTCAAACAACCACCATCGGTGGCACTTGGGCACGTCGCTTAGTGCAGTCAGAGGTTATGCGATTGCCGTACGAGCATATGGCCTGCTGAATTGGATAGAATAGGCCCTGAAAGGTTAAATGTCAACCAAGTAAAGACTCATGGCACGCTTACTTGGCAAGCTCATCAGCGCCAAAAAAATACATGAAATACATTGGAATTTGAAAAGCCAATTATGATGGTAGCGTATAATATCACACAAATATGACAAGCAGTATTAATTAAAGGATTCAAATCTGTAGCAAAAACACAATAGACAATGAACATCACAGCAGGGTCTCATGGCTCTGTTTTCGGAGGGCGGTAAGGTCCCAATCGAATTTTCTGTTTGCAGGTGATATGAGCAGGTAAATTAGTTACAATTATAATTGATTAACTAGAGCAAGTATTTTATAAATCATTATTGTATTGTTTGTTGTTGTAACGTTCTTACCCACCCTGGACTGGACATGTGTCAAAAAGAGCTTTATAGTTCATCAGATTCCTCCAGTATAAATAAATATTCTGATTCTGAATGCATTTTTATTCAACGCTGCAGTGTCACCAGGTAATTGACTTCAGCATTACAGCGTATACCCAGAAGCCAGGTGAGGAAGCCTTCACAGACTGCCTGCAGGTGTGACACCGCTGCTGTGACTCGGCTGCAAGGTGACTATGGCCTGTGAGTGATTGTAAAGGACGGGCACTCGGGCTAGAATGGAAAATGCTGTCCTTTAATATGCATATCGTAGAAATGCACGTTGCCTTATATTGTGTAATTGATTACATTCTAAAGTGAATACATAAAATACATTCTAGATTTGAAGCTTTCGTGACTGCAAGGATTCATACTTTTAGTTCACGTGATGCAGCAAATCTGGCTGTGACGGTCCCACCTGATGACGGAGACTTGTGTTGCCTCCGAAACGTCGTGATTTTTATTTTATTTTTTATTAATTTTAATTTCATTTTTTACCTACGTGGCTTTACCGAAAGAACTAAGAGTACATTTAATACAGAAATATTTTAATACTAAAAAATTAACCCGTAAAAACAAAGTTTTTCACTATAAATTCTTTATATGCGTGGCGGCTAGAGTCCTCTCGTCCTCTGGCTTGAGATGGCTGCCACCTATGGGTCAGATGATTGCCTGCCACTATTAAGCAATTGGTAATTAAATATAATTTATTTTTTCCTAAAAAGTGTAAAAATTTCGGAAAAAAAATTCTCACGAAAATGCATTGTCACGCACAACGAGTCTGTGTGCAAAATGTCAGCTCGATTGGATCACGGGAAGTGGGTTAAAAAACGACCGAAAGATTTGCACGGTCGTAAGCGCGCAAGCAAGCAAGCAAGTGAACTTAATATAAAGGATTTAAAAAGAGGCATTCGTCAAGATGACGGCACCGCGGCGAGCGCCGTGACGCCCGGCGCCCCCCCCCCCCCCCCCCCCCCCACCTGTGAGCCCGGCTGGGCACGAGCACGAAAAGTTGCCCACGCCGGCCACGCACGTGCCGGGCCCGCACGGCGCCGCGGCGCATCCGTCCACGTGGCCGGCGCAGCGGGGGCCCGTGTAGCCGGCGCCGCACACGCACAGGTACTCGCCGCTCCCCGGGGGGCGGCCCACGTTTGTGACGCACGTGCCGCCGTTCACGCACTCGCACGGCCTCACCGCCACCTGCGACACGCGGCGGAGGCGGCGGGGAGGTCGGAGAGAGTCACGGCCGCGAGCCGGCACGCTCGCCACTTCGCAAGGGATCACGAGCCTTTGAGTTTTATATACTGTATATAAAAATATTTTATACATTAATAAAACATTATATATAGCTTATATATATTATACCGTTTTAGATAGATATATATAAAACGTTTGCCATGTGCTGTAAGGCAATTAATCGCTATCCATTCACATGCATGGGTTTTCCTCGTATGATGTGGCTTACTGCCGAAAAACATTGCGGCAATATTCACAAGCAGGGCTCTTGTGAAGCAAGACTTCTGAGACTCAATGAGGCTTTCCCGTGTTAACGACTCCTGTATTAACTGCTGATATTTGAGTAAAAAAAATTTGGCAACAAGTTCTAAAAAGTGATTCAATATGTAAAGTGACAATTTAAATCACATTACTGGCGATCTGCACAAGTGAAATTATGAAAATGAAAGCTCTGAATTCATGTTCAGTTGAATAAAAAATATGTCATTAAATGAAACTAATTCCGTTCCTGAAGATGCGTACAGCATGTGGAGCTAAAACGACAGACATCGTGCCAAACAACGCACGGCTACAAACCCAAAACCACGTCAGGAGAGCCGGACAGCACAACCGCGAAATCCTGCGCAGGGGAATCAGCCAGCCTTTTCTGGATTTCAGGCTGCAGCGATATAAGCACGGGTCAAATCTGCGAGCGCGTAGAGTTGGCACCTGCACTACGACGCGGCTCTCGGCCGCACACTCGTCGGCCACCGTGAGCCGGAACTCCTCGGAGCGGCCGCTGGGGCCCGGGCCGGGCAGGGCCGGGACATCCCACATGAGGAGGCCTCCCGGCGTGATCGAGGCCCCCGGCGGGCCCAGCTCCAGCGTGAAGAGCACGGCCGAGCCCTCGGGGTCGCTGGCCTGCAGCTGGAAGATGAAGCCCTCTCCGGCGAACGTGTGCAGCGGCTCGAGGCCCGTCTGCAGCTCCGGGGCCTGGTTGTCTGGGCGGCAGAGCGTGGCCGGCGAGGTGAGATGTGGCAGCAGTCAACGAGTAATCGCCGCCAACACCACCTCCACCACTGTGCACTGTGAGTGGTGGTGGTGCTGGTGCATGGTGGGGGGGTCATTCTCAATTTATATACCCCGAGTGAGATGAAAAGATTTATAGGCAATAGAGAAGTGAGATGAGGAGCGGACTGTGGACAAAAGATGCAGGAGATGTAACAAGATTCGTCTTCTTGGTTCTTTCGGCAAAGTCACGTAGAAGGGAAATAATAAAATAATACAAATAAAACATAATAAAATACAATTCTCACGACGTTTCGGCCACAACGCGAGCAGCGGCGGAGGGGAGTTCAGAGAGAGTCAAGCAGCCGTTGCGTTGTGGTCGAAACGTCGTGGGAATTGTATTTTATTATGCTTTATTTGTATTATTTGTATTATTTCCCTTCTACGTGACTTTACCGAAAGAACCAAGAAGATGAATCCCTGCAGTCACGAAAGCTTTAAATCGAAATGTAACAAGATGTGTGTATGTACAACTTCTTTCGCATCGTGAGTAGCCAGCCATGCTAATGGGATGGGAGAAAAGAGAAAGAGATGAGACAGCTGCAGTGCAATGACCGATAAGAACTGCAGACAACTATAGATGAGAGAGATTCATTATTGACTTTGTCTATTAGGATCTGAATTCGTGTTGATATTTGGTGCGTCCCTCTATTTTTCATAAATCAAAGGCCTCTTGAGCCTCTTGGGGTCTTAATAATTTGCTTGGTTTGCTTGTGTGTAGCAGCACCCCTGGTTGTGAGCACTTGATTCCCTTCCGCAGACAAGGACCTGAGCTCAAATCCCCGTCGGTGGTTGACTCATCTCCCTGGGATCAACAGAATTAGTGAGGAGCGGTTGATGCATGCAGACTGACCCCTGCCTTAGGAATGTCGAATTTCAACCGCTGACTGGAGGACTGCACATTACCCAAACTGGTAATTTAAAAATGGTGACAGGTGACTTACACATTGTGCATAATATAGTAACCCATCGATCATGTGCACTGTAATGCCACGGTCCACGCTGATGAAATTCAGTGTACGGACTTCTGCACTTTAAATGCCTCTTACTCTCATTCAGGGACCAGGTGAACTTGGACACATCGGGCCTGCATAGCAGGCACGGGCTTGTGGGATTGATGTGTCCCTCTCCATAGCACAGGCCGTCGATGTTGCAGGTATTTTCCTGCGCAAGTGAAATTCCAAAAACAGAAAACAAAACTCGTGACACAGCCTCCCCGTACGTGCATCTGAAGCAGCCGTTCACAGTTTGTGGAGCGTGTTGGACGTACGTGACTTTAACTTATTTGGCGCCGTACGTAGAAAGCCATGCTAATCGGAGTGTAGGCACCGATGGATTCAATTTGTCAATTGAAATTTTGTTCCAACGTTCCACCTTTTCTCACCTTGAGTTTGCAGAGTCCATTGGGCCTCGAGTCACACACCTGGCAGACTCCATCGTACAGAGTCAGGGTCTTAATGTCGCTCAGCTCGAGCCCGTCATTGGTGACCTGCAGAGCAACCGCGGCATTCCGGAGTGAAGTGGACACCGAGACAGCGGTCACGGAAACTCTGCCACTCGCGTCGTCCATCGTCACTCGAGAGCAGAAGATACACCTGCTTCATCTACACCCTCAAGATGCAGGTCAAGGTCTCCACTCATCTGGTGAGTGTCATCACCACCGCCGTACTCTCTAGCACCTTCAAAACAATAAGAACAGCCGCTGTGATGGGAAGGTTCTACGCTGGCTTTGTGTGACCAGTTACTTAGCGAGTTCTCTAGTCTGCGTGTTGAGCAAAACAAGAGGTCCTGACTAACGCTCAAAATCAAGCCGATGGCAACTGACAACAAACCTGCCGCACGACCCAAAAACAGCCGCGGCAAGAGGTAACAAGAGATATAGACGGAGGAGAGGATAGAAATACAGATGAGTCAGATTTGCGGACAGAGACCGAGTTAGATGAGAGAAGGGATCTAGGTAACAGAGGGATGAGGGACCGAGAGAGGAGGACTTCTTCACAATTCTGGCTACCGCCTGATGAAGCTGGTTGCAATCGCCAGTGAAACGTCGTTCTGGTAATTGTCAACGTTGTGGGTTCGTTCGGACTTTGAATTCGTGCCAATATGTGCATTTGTTCACGAATTCGGGGTCTCCCTCGGCGTTGAGTTTGCTTGCGCCCAGCGGCTCGTACCGCACCTGTATCTGGAAGCGGGCGAAGGGCTCCTCGTCCAGCACCGCGCCCAGCTGCTCGCCCGCGGGGATGGCGGCCGGGGGCAGGGGGCATTCGACGGCGCGGCCGCTCAGCCACTCGGCATCGACGAGCCGTGGCCCGTCGGGCACCCACTCCCCACCCACGTTCTGCGCACAAACACAAAGATTGCTCCCCCACCCACGTGTAGCCTGCGACGGACTGCTGGGGCAAGCGCCATTAGCGAGTAGGACCCGCGAAGGCCGGCACGGCACACGAGGGGGTGGGTGGCCAGCACCACGCCCGGCCGCCTTTGGCTCCCCAGTGGCGATGATTTTACACATCGCACCAGGTACTCATTTGTGGCTGAGTCGCCCTGGGGGGAGGCTCAGGACCGGTTTAGATAATATAATCGTCACCGGTGTTGGTAGCCGTGAGCGGGAATCAAACTCGGGTGGCCAGGTTCGTAGTGTGGTGCGCTAACTACGACACTACCGCTCGACACTCTGCACACACAAACACAGACAAGCAGCATCCACACAGCCCCGCTAGGACCACGACCGCTCCCCTAAGTGTTTAAAATTAGGTCGTAGCTGCTTCAGCGGCATTTATAAATGCTAAAAATTTTAATCTAAATCTCTTGGAGGAGAGCTTTTAAAGAGAGGCTTTTTCTAGGGAGTCCGCATCATGTGAGTCCGCTATGTCCGGATCCCTGCGAGGCCATCCTCTGGTCACGGTGTGCAGCTTTTCGTTTAAGTGAAAGATCAAGTGTCTCCCCACTCCAAGGAACAGTTGGATTGTGCCGTGGTTTATATCCGCAATTCCCACGGAAAGAGCCGATCTTTTCTGTGGACGGCCACTGCTCGCTTCCAGCAGTGGTGTTCATCGCTTCCGCGGGTTGCGTATCAGAGGTTATATTATTCCACATATGACATCGTAGTAATTCACAGTTCACGGTCAATCCACCGCCGTGTCGGTCATGTGACTCAGGGTGGGGGACACGAGTTTTTATTTAGATATCATTCACCCACTAAAGTTAGCCATCGCTCAGAATCACCGTCTTCCTTTCGTTCGACGTTATCACACGAAACAAGTGAACCTGCAGAGGGCAGTGTCACGCATGGGGTAATGCTGCCAGGAGGTGGCAGCCTCCTTGCTTTGCGTAAAATACGAGATGCGCCAACGCACGGGGCATGTCACCGGTAATTATCGGACCGATTGGCAGCCTCGTGTGCGTAGCTCTTCCCTGTTTCCCACGTCTGCTTCGTTCACAGGAGCATCCTGTCCCACTTCCCGGGTGAGTGTCGACTGTACGATGCATTTCATTTGCACGGTCACCGATTAAACTCTCCACCGCCGGTGCAGCGAACGCCAAGCCAGCGAGCATCCGCCCTGACGGACGCCACCACGAATTGCCCCCTTGCGTGCTGACGGCAGCACACGCCGCCTGCAAGACGTTTACCTGTAGGCTGAGGATTCTGCATTTCAAGGACGGCGAGTCCCTGAAGCCCTTGCCAAACACGCGCACGCTCGTGCAGTCGTAAGCGCGGATGTCGCACAGCCCCCCGTTTTCCAGCTCGGCAATCTGCGGGGGCTGACCTGCACGAGGCAAGGCACACGATCACGGCCCATCGCTTTGCACCGCGAGGGTTTTGTCAGCGCAACAAACAAAATTCGCATTTGACGGAAACCGAGCAAACCCGCGGCGGGCTGCGAGAAGCGGAATCTCACTCTCGGAGGCGCTGCAGTCGTAGGAGCCGAAGCCCTGGGAGCAGTCGCAGCCCTGGGGCGTGCACCGGCCATGCCCGCTACACCCGCGTGGGCACCGGAGGGCATCCAGGGCCTCGGACGGGGCCCCGTCCGGTCCGGCCGCTGCCTCTGCGCGCCTCCACAAGGCGCCGCTCGCACTCGTTCTCCAGGTACGGCACCAGCGCGTCGGCCCAGCTGGGGTCGTCCTTGAGCTGCAGGTCGAGGACGCACGTTTGCTGCGCACGGTCCAGCGTCTCGCGGCCGAGCACCGGCGCGCAGGCCCTGCCCACGCCGGAGGCCGCCAGGGCGGCGACGCACAGGTCGGCGGCGCGCTTCTCCATCAGGCCGCTCCGCGTGGGCCAGCGCAGCGGGGCCGCCGCCGCCGGGCGCTGCCTGTCGCCGTCGCCCCCGGCCATGTGGTCCTCGGGGAAGAAGTAGCTGAGGCTCTCCAGGTCCACCTGGCTCAGACTCTGCAAGTTGTAGGTCGGCGCGTATTCGTAGTAGCTCTGCCTCTTCCCGCGGGCGGTCTGCCACCTGGCTCGCGGAGGCAGCGACCGCGTCCCGTGCCTCTGGCCGTCGCAGCTCCGGACGGATCCTCCTCTTCCCGTAGCGGCGCTCTCGCTGGCCCCCTGTGCCACGGTGCCCCGCCGCCGACGCCGCCGGCTGAGCCGTCTCCCGCGACCGCGCTTCGGGGCTCGCTGCGCGTTCCGCGACACCTCGACTCCCCGCCGGGAACCGGTTGCTTCCGCGCTCGGGGGTCGGAGGTCGGGACGCTCCCCGAGCGCCACGGCGCCTGCGGTTGTCCGGCACCACGAGCTCCTGGGGGTTGAGGAAGTCGGCGGTGACGTCCTCGGCCGGGATCAGGCCCGAGAGGTCCACGTCCTCGATGCCGAGGCACGTCGCGGAGGCGTAGGGAGAGGGCGGCTCGGGCGCTCGGTGGCGGTCGGGGCCCACGGGGTTGCGGCCGCAGGTGCAGTAGTTTCGCCGCAGCGGCAGCGCCTCGCCCTCGGGGAGACGGTCAAAGAGGCTCTCGCCCGGCTGCAGCCTGACGCACGGCGCACGGTGCGGCTCGGTGAGGCTTTGACAAACGCGTTACAACGCTTTGCCGGTTAGTTTAACACGTGGTAGGCTTTCGCAATCGATGTCATCCATAATGCAGGTTTGTTTGGGGTTAGATCGCGTAAATATGTGTGTCGTTAAACCCGCCACCACCCGACACAGCCAATTAGTAAGGTTTGTCACGTGAATAGAACGTGAAAATTCGTGACTAGTACAGCACACCGGTGTGTTGGAGAGCCAAGTCACAACATTTACAATCTGAGTACGACGTTTCGCCAGTAATTACAATTAGCTTCATCAGGCGACAGTTGTTGTTCAGCACGATGTGTGACATCTTGCTCCACATACCGGGAGCTTTCTTGAGGCTCTTTCAGCAAAGCTCTCAAGCACAAGCAGAGACGGTGGTTTGTGCGAACCCCATCGCGTGTGCGTGCGTGAGACTTCCCATCGAGGAGTGTGGCCAGTAGCTTACAGTAGAACGAGTTGGTTGCTTACCTATATCTGAATATCGGTGTTACTCTCCTGCATGGATGTGGGGGGGTGGGTCCCATCAGGGCATTCCAGTTTCCTCCCACACGCACGCACACGTGTAAATACTGAACAAAGAATTGGCCAAATATTTCAAGCAAAAGCCCCCCCCCCCCCTTCCGCCCATAGCAAACGAGTCTTCAGATTTAGTGACGCTCTCCTGGGTGAATAAATAACGTTTTTTTAATCATTCAAATGTATTTCTCAGACCACGGGAACCACTGCCAAAGCGATACGTGCTTGCCAAGCCCGAGCGCACGGTGTGTGTGGGGGGGGGGGGGGGACGTCGCGTGGAGCACCTCCACTCGTCGACGAAGCGTCGCGGCTCTGCGGTGGCCACACCCGAGGAGGGAGGCAGACGTTCCCCGCGGCTGCCGTGGAAGTCGTTGCCCGCGTCGCCGTCCACGGTGCCGCACAGGCCGAGGGTGGCGTTCGCGTCCGAGCCGGGCGCCCGCACCGCGACGCTCATCCCCCAGTCGCTCACGTCCACGCGCACGAACGTGCCAGACGGGAACGTGACCTGTGGCGGCGAACCACGCGCGCGAATTCGTGACCTTCCGCCCCCCCCCCCATCTCGTTTTGGCTTTTGCTTGTTTACAGTAGCTTCGTTCGTTTTGACTCGAAAACAATCAATCTATATACCAAGCCCACGGTCCTTGTAAATGTTATAATACTGAACATTAAGCCGGCTAGAACTTTACAAGATAGTTTTCTGTACTATGTTCGGAACGTGGCTGTGCACCGCAAACAAATGTGCCGAAGTAGCAGCTTTGTGTACATTCGTCTAGCACAGTTGGCTGCGTACAGTGTGAAAGAAGTTCTACGTACATACATCGACATGGAACTCCACAGCTTCTGGGAAACAAGTCAGTGAATTGCAGATGCCATTGTCTAAAGTTCTCAACGGAAAGCAATGCTCAGCCAATCCAAGTTCGATTGGTCCCATTGTGAACCCGGACAAACAGCCTAAACCACAGCCACACTTGAACATGGAACAGCGTTTCTCCATCTGTCCTCATCAGGATACCGGACCGTTGACGATGAGCGGCCGTGTCACGATGTGCACACTGCACTACAAACCCAGCAACCCGAGTTCGGTTCCCGTGACGATTATCTGAACCCGTCCTGGTCCTCCCCTAGGTCGACTCGGCCTCAAATTAATACCTGGTGTGATGTTTGGACATCGCCGCTAAGGTGACCAGGGCATCCGGGTGCGGTGCTGGCTACCCAACCCCTCGTGTGCCGTGCCGGCCTTGAAAGGTGCTCATAATAAACGTTTTTGGGTTTAGATCGCATTATTTATAAATGTGTCGTAACCCTCAACCACCCGACACGGCCAATCAGTAAAAAAAAGTGTCACGTTGACAAAAGACAATTAGTTCACTGCTTTAGCCCACCGGTGTGTTGAAGCGTGAAACCACAACATTTACAATTTTTGAGTACGACGTTTCGCTGGTAATTGCATCCAGCATCATCGGGCAATTCGCGATCTAAACCCAAAAACGTTGATTAACGTTGATTATGAATCATTTTGGTCGCGAAAGCCTACGTGTTAAATTTGAAAGGTGCTACTCGCGAACTGGCCTCGCCCCACAAAAGTCTGGTTAAGGCTGCACGGGGGGTGGGAATCTTTGCCTCGTCTGGGACAAGAAGCGTGACGCGAGCGGATCCGTCGCGGCCGCGTACCGTGACCTTGCGACCCTGCTGGGCCTCGGTGATCCGTGGCCGCCGCTCGCCGTGCTCGAGGACGAGGCCCCGCACGGAGAGGTGCGGCCGCGCCTCCTCCTGCGCCTGCCCATTGCACATGTCGACCACCACGGAGACGGGCCCCTCGCGGGCCGCCACGCCGCAGGCGCAGGACACGGCGTGCTCGCGGCTGCCGCAGTCCCACTGCCGCACGTGGACGTCGAGCGGGCGGGCCGTACTCCGGTAGAGCACGAACGTGCCCGTGCCGTAGTTGTCGTAACGTCTGCGTTCGGCGAGGGGCGGACGGGGGGCGGACGGGGGGGGTGGTGAGCAGGGGACGAGTCCGGTGCAGGACTGCGACCGCTCGTGCCACCGCTACTGCTGGCCAGAAGGCGTCTCCACTGGAGGGAGCTCTGAAGAGGTGACAGGGAGTTTTTGGCCTGCTCTTCCACGCTCGCTTCTTTCTCACCGTACGTAGCCGACCGTGATAATCGGAGGTGTGGGGTAAAGGTCATCAAACAAAAGAAATGAGTTTGTCAATCTAGATGATGATGATTTAAAAAGTGCATAGCTCCAGTGGATTCCTAATATCGGAAGGAAGAGCGTTCCAGACGGCCGCAGAAGCGCAACTGAAAGCGCCACGCGATGCTGTGAGTGTCTTTGTCCGATGCCAAGCCAGACGTCTTGGCCAGACACGTACTGTAACTGGTTGTAGCTATTTATGCTGCTGGGTGGAGAGAGGTTGGGGGGGGCGGGGTTCGAGACACTGGCACCATTATTTAAACGACAATTCCGGGAGATGACATCGAACCGGGGACCACTGGATGTCAAATCCAGCGTGGTGAGCATTGCACCACGATGGTATCCCACAGACGAGATGAGCAGACGACAATCATGACCCCGTCAACAAAGTGAAGGCCAAAGTGACTTCCTGCTCAAAAGAGGATGGGGCGGTGCTCATCTCCTATGGCGGAGGCCAGTCCACCCATAGGACAACCGAAATCTGATTTCATACAAAGTGGTATTTATTTTATTGACCCCCTCGCCCCCAAGAGAGATGATGGGTCACAAACCACAGACTGGAATTTTAACTCGAAACGTTCTGACTTCAGGTTGGGTGCTCTGACACAGCCCAGCCAGAGGCTTTTCAACAATACACTGTGTGGGGTCTGTAAACACGGCCTCGCAACTCCGCGCACACACACAGAGGAGCCAGGGAGGCCCCCGTGTCACCTCCCATAAGTAACACGCGCACAGTGCAGTCTTTCCATTCGTATTATTGGCACTAGCAAAGTAAAACAGTGGCCTGAGCCAAGCAGACGCCTCTGAAGGCAGTCGAGCTGCCACCGCCGCCACTGACAAAAGCAGCAACCAGAAACGCATTCCCTACTCCTGTCACCTCCACACGCGTCAACCCTCGCGTCTTCATAACAACGCATCCACGCGCCCGCTAAACGTGCAATGTATTTCACACGTGTACAGGATTATTCCCCCGCGCTGGTGCAGCGGGCGCGGCCGGTGCACGCCCCAGAGCTGCGAGTGACCTCCAGGGCTTCGGCTCCTACGACTGCAGCTCGTCCGAGAGTGAGATTCTGCTCCTCGCAGCCCGCCGCGGGTTCGCTCGGTTTCCGTCAAATGCGACTTTTGTTTTTTGCCGCGCTGACAAAACCCTCGCGGTGCAAAGCGATGGGCGGTGATCGTGTGCCTCGCCTCGTGCAGCTCAGCCCCCGCAGTTTGCCGAGCTGGAAAACGGGGGCCTGTGCGACATCTGCTTTTTTAATGGTAATTCATCAGTGGCTAAGCACGTACTCAAAGGCGCCAATCATCAAGCAGCCAGCAACAAACAGCACTTGTAAATGTTGTAGGTAAAAGATTTTGCACGTTTCTTGAGCGGAGCAGGGTGATAAGAGCTTAGGTAGCGGGGCGAAGGGAGGGAATTCGAAAGATGCAGAGAGGTGCTGTGACCTGCAGTGCGCCGGTTGAACAAAGGCATGGAACGAGATGAGAACGGGCTGGTAGACCGAGGCCTCAACGTGCGAGGATGAATCATGGGGAGTGCTTAGTTCCATAATTTATATATATATAAAGCTGGCTTTTGATTGAACCCACAGGATTGGCGACATTGTTTTGCTGGCATTTGACTTGACCACCCAGTCTTCCTTCTTATGTTAGGAATTCAATGGAGTGATTAACTTTCAAATAATCTAGATTGAAAACTTATCTCCTTATAACTGCTTTTTGTGTTTAGTTTGTTGTCCTTCCCCCGTACTTCGAAATTAGCAGGGTTGGCTATGGTACGGTGGTGCTAAAGAAGTTCAACAGACACCCAAGATCTCCCCAATTACCGTGACCTGGCGCACACTCACCTGCCGTCGAAGGTGATGACGTGCGGGTCGGTGAGCGAGTAGCAGTACGGGGTCGGTACGTCTCTCACCGTCACCTGCAGGGCATCACGCATCCACGCATCACACATCCACGCATCACGCATCGGCCTCTCTCGACGAACGGCCCGGCCACGATCGTATTTGCTTTCAATCACAAACGTGTTCTTACTAATGTCCCAATGTGCAGCAAATCAAGGCAAATAACATTTGAGTTAACCACGGTTTACCTACGTTTCAAAACCTACCTTTCAATTGCACAGTTTCATTCAGTTTGTCCAATCCACATCTTTCTTTTTTACTGTTATAAATTGGCAGTGAAACAACGAGGCAGGTCCACATGCAACTATTAAAATATTGACGTAGCCTGGCGGTAGCGTGTTCGCCGCCTGTTGCAGAGATTCACCATTCGCATCCGGCAGGCCACCCTGTTTAATACCACAGGTGTATTACCCACAAAATAGACCCCCGTCTGCCACGCAGTGGACATTAGAAGATCCCGCGACGTCGTTCCCATGATCGTACGCCACTGTGTACCGGCATCATCGCTCGCTGGCAAATAAGAACGGTAACTTGACATCACGAAAAAAAAACCCAGAGCCTTAGCTTCTCGTCCGTCCAACGAGCACTCCAGCCGCCGTGTCTCTCTGCTGCAGCCTGCGCCCACTGCTACTGCTCGGCAGACCGCGCAACATCTCCCGCGGTGGCAGCGTCACCTGCACGGGCGGTGGCGCGTAGCCGGACCACAGGAAGTCCGAGACGCCGATGGGCTCCACGGAGACGAAGCTGTCGCGGTCACCGTCCCGCGTGAAGTCCACGATGGCCGTGACAGTAGACCGTGGCCCGCGAGCAGCTGCTGCCCGCGCAGGGCCCAGGGGGGAGCAGCACGAGGCAGGACGAGAGCGCCACGTCGGCAGGGCCACCGTCTAGCCGCCATGTCAAGGCCCCAACAAGTTACTCGGGGCGCGTCCGTGCTCAAATATACTCGCCATCCTGATAGTCATTGAATTTGTCCTCAGCGGTCAAAGCGCTGGGCTGACACCGCTGAGATCCGAGGTTGGAATCGAGGCGGCCGCCTGTGATTAAACACTGGGTTCTCAAGTGCAGTGAGTTGATGGTCTCTGCCCGGTTACCAATCACGGTACATTAATTTGACTAAATTCAGCAATTCCAGCACGAAAAATGTTAAGTTTGGCTGTCATGTAAGGAACATTACTGTCCACAGCAGGGTGGGTGGGAAAGTGTTCTCTCCGACTGTGTGGCCCAGAGGTCACTTTAAGAGATCTCAGAAGTAGTTTTGTGATGACCACTTCGGCGAGCTGTTCCCCACCACAGAGGATTGCACTGCTTTTCGAGAGATCAAAACGGATGATTCGTCTCATCACCTGACACTGATCAAATTTGAGTAAGAAAAAAAGATTTAGAAACCGCAGCCCGGCAACCAGGTTTGTAATTGTTTCAGGTGTTAGAGTTGGTCTCTCTGAGCTGACGTTTGCCAATTGTGCCCGCACTGGTGCGCGCAGTTTCCCTTCCCGATGCCCCAGCACGACCAACTTGAGACATGAGCACCCCACGGCGCTGGCTCCGGGTTCCCGCTGCTCTCTGCCAGATCGTGCCGCCACTCACCGTCGCTCCACGTGTGGAGCCGCAGAGCGAGGGCGCAGCTGGGCGTGCGGGGGCCCGGCTCGGCGCACGGGATGGGCACGGTGCTCTCCACCACGATCGCGTGCTCCCGTCCGTCCTCCGACATCTCCAGGCTGCTAGGGCTCACCTGCAGCGACGACAAACGCCACCCACGCGACCCCACGCGGCCCCCTCGCAGTGACACCTCACAAAAACCTCGAGCCACGGCCACAAAGTGCCCCGAGCGCTCGTGACGACGAATCGCCGCGCCAAGTGCGTTGTGAACGGCGGTGTTCCGTTACCTTGATTCCGGCAAAGAACTCCTCGCTCTCCACAGCCGGGCCCTGGGATTGTGGAGAATCCAGAAGGAAGCAGGCGACGCTGCACACGATCTGAGCGGGCGGCATTGACAAAATCGACAAAATCAAGACGAGACGTGAAGAACGATGGAGTTGCTGAACGCTAAATTGTTGAACTGAACAAGCACGCTGCAGTGAAATGATTTTGTCTCTTGGGGTAAACGACTTTGGCCAATCCCCATTTTCCCAGAATCTGCAACATTCGTGGAACTATAGCACTTCCCAAATTGCGTTTTGAAAGTTTTCCCCTCCGATTCAGAATTTTTATTGAAGTTGTTTAACTCCTTCCTGGAGCCAAATTTTACTGCGTGCATGGTTTTATTTTTCTATTATATTTTTTTCTTTACCCAGGGGCGTGGAGGGGGGGGTGGGTGAGGAGGGGGGGGGGTCGCACCGAGTCTCCCAGGCGGATGTTGACACCGTCCAGCTCGATGCTGGCTCGCGGCTGCATCGAGGTCTCGCGGCGGAGGGCCTCCCGCTGTCCGTGGGCCGCCACGCGCGTCCACTCCACCACGTAGCCCAGCGTGCCGTGGTACGCCGGGCCCGAGAAGAGGCAGCGCGCGTGCACGCCGCCGCCGCCGCCGCCGCTGCTGCCGCTTGGCGCCGCCGAGACCACCGGCCGCTCCGCCAGCACCGGCAGCGTCGCTAGTGGCCCCGAGCGCACACACGGTTGCGAGCGTCGACGTTAACGGTCTGCGTTTAGGGGCTTCTCGCAGTGTTGTTATCGTCGTCAGTGCCGCTGCCACCGCCGGGCATCTGAAGAGCCGCGGCGAGTCAAGTGGAGAGGGGAAGACACCGGACACCCTTCGTGCGATCGCAGCGCTGCGGTCAGACGCCTGAAGTCACGTCGGAGGAGCTGCCTCACATCAACACGGCCACTGAACGACAAAGACAAAGGTCCCCTGTGTGGCCTCTACAGACCGTTGGGGCAAGTGCTGTTAGCGAGTCGCCACCTATGAAGGCCGTGGCCAGCAGCACGCCCCACCGCCTTTGTCTCCTCAGTGGCGATGTTTACATACTACACCAGGTACTCATTTGCGGCCGAGTCGACCTAGGGGAAGCCCAGGACCGGTGCAGAGAATTGTCACCGGTGTTGGTAGCTGTGAGCGGGGAATCTAACTCGGGTCGCCGGGTTCGTAGCGGTCAGTGCGTCACGGCGCTGACCGCACGCGCTGACCGCTACGGCCACCGCTCCTCACGCCTACGACCATGCGCGTGACGTAGCGGCGAAGGCAACCTCGAGTGAGGGGTGCTGAGGGTCAGCGTGGACGAGCCAACGACTCCGCACGGGAGCCGTGGCGGGGTGGAACACGTGGAAAACTGCGAACCGACATTGCAACCAGTGCCGGATGATCATAGTGTCAACAGTAGCTACACATATGTAGTAGCTACATATGTGTAGCTACTACATATGGTTCAGTGATTCTGCACTTTCTCTATTGCTATAGCACTATACTAGCTTAATCCGGTAGCTACTACATATGTAGTACATATGTAGTAGCTACATATGCAGTAGCTACATATGCAGTAGCTACATATGCAGCAGCTACATATGCAGCAGCTACATATGTAGCAGTTACCTATGTAGCAGCTACACTAGTAGTAGCTACATAGCTACTACATATGTAGTAGCTACTACATATGTAGCAGCTACTACATATGTAGCTACTACGAATGTAGCTGCAATGTTGAGCCAACGCAGGACTGTGATTAGAACTGCTGAGCTAACATTGATTGGTCCAACGTTCCTTCATTTACCGGGCAGTCATCGGACATCGCATCGAACAACACGGTTCAATTCAAAACACATCAGAGAGCTCTGCAGCGTGACAGCAAAAACCTACGCGAGGAGTATTCCGATGAACATTCCGTGTCCCCGGTGTGTGTGCGCCCAGCGCCGTACCTCTGCAGGCGACGTTCACCTCCTCCTCCCCAGGGCCACACGGTCTCTCAGGCACCGCCACTTCCTCCGGCAGCGCTGGTCCGTCCGGCACCAGGGCCTCCTCCAGCGCCATCGGCTCGGCCAGCAGAGCGGGCTCGTCGGGCGGCGTGCGTGCATCGGGGACCACTGTGAACGACGCGACCGGCAGCCGCCACTCAACGCTCGCCCGTGTGGCGCACGACTGCCGTGCGTCCAGATCGCCGTCACCTCTACGCAGCCACCGAGAGAGTGAAGTCCCATGGCCTCCTCGGCACCGCAGCCCACGTGGAAGCTTGGGCACCCCCCCCCCACCACCCCATTCAACGTCTCAAACGATTGTGACGGAACCGATGCTCTCGGTATTGCTTGTCTGTGTTTTCATACAGCGTCGTCATTCGCGCAATCTGCTTATGAAGAACGCTGCAGCATTTATAAGGCGCGCTAGTGGGTTTTTTTTTTGGCACCACGGAACGAGCGCCTGGGAACGCATCCGGAACAGGCACCAACAACTGGCCAAAGCAAAGCCCGGTGGTTCCTACATTGGCACACTTGGCACGCACCCTACACAACTGGGCAGCAACGCTGAATGCCCCTAAACGGGTTTTACCGAGACGACCTCCAAACGTGCCAGAGAGTGGCTCCCCTTTCCGGCAAAAGTCAAACGCGATGAGCGCGACTGAGCGCCGGAGTCCACGTGCGTCGCTCACCCTGCGCGCAGTAGCCCATGCAACCCTGAGTCGGCCGCAGCAGGTACACGTGGAAGTCGCCGCAGTTGCGCACGGTGACGGGGATACGGAAGAGGCAGCAGTCCTTGGTGGAGCCCGGGAAGAACTGCCAGGTGGCGCAGGCGGTGAGCTGGCGCGCCTCACCCGGCGCCGGCAGCGACTCGGAGCCGTGCAGCGACAGCCACACTGGGGCCTGCGTGCCACAGCGGTTCATCTGCACGACAACGCGCGCCCGATTGGAGTGCGCCCGCGTCGCTCGCGCTCCGTGCGAGACGCGAGGAGGCGATCGTCGTCGACTTCATCCGCCGTGCAGCTCGGCGGTACGGCGAGCGGCTCGCGATCGAAAGGTGGTTACGAGGTTGACGCAGCCCATCAATCGCTCTTGGGTCGATACAATAGGTACCACTTTGTGGGGAAATCACCCGTGGTTGTCATGGAAATACTGCCCGCCCCCGCCATAGAAATGTGGAATTTTGCACCACTGGCTTAAGGCTGTAAACAGGAAATGAGCACCGTCTGAATGCTCGATGGGACAGAAAGTCACTTCGACTTCTTCGCTGGTGACCTCGGAGAATTGGTTTGCCCCACAGGAAAAATACTGCTCATTGACCCTGAAGAGGTGATGGACTAACGAGGAACATCCAGAGTGTGATGCTCTGATTCCTACCAAGGTGTGCACATTCACAGTACGTGGCGATAGAACAGGACCGGTGAAATTCCACGCGGCTGATCGCTGTCAGGTGCAATCGAGGAATCGTCAAGTCCGCGTGGTTCAAAGCGGGATGCACCGATTGCAGGACCGAGTCAAATCTAACACCAGTTCAATATTGTTTCTCAATGGTCGTCGATCAAACAAAACTGTCAGAAGGTTGTGGAGGACAGGGTGGATGTGACGAGGCCGCGTTCATCACCAGCTGTGCTGCCCCTGCCCATTGTGAGCTGTGTCTGTCTCTTTTATTGTAAATTACAATCCCGTGCCTCTCAATGATCAAGTTTGGATAATTCGTCCCATGTGTCACGAAGGCCACGTGGAATCTCACCACTCCCGTTCGTGCGCCACGTACTGTCAATGTACACACTCCGTGAATATTCCGAGTGAGTTGACCCTGGCTTCCTGCTAAAACAACAAACGAGGCGCGCCTACTCGGCGCTCGTGAGGTCAGCAAAACAAAGTTATATTAAACGACACTTAAAACGTCGCTCTGTGCCGGCGATGGCTTTCGCAGCAGACCTTCAAGGTATTTTTATAATCTGTCGACAAGAAAAACTGCAAGGCGATGTGCAGAGCACCGTGCAGCAGCTGCACCCTTCGGTTAAAGCAGCTCTTACACTCTTAGTTTTTTCTGTAAAGTCACGTAGGTAAAAAATTTTAATTTTAATTAATAAAAATAAAATAATTTTATTTAAATTAAAATTAATAAAAATAAAATAATTTTATTTTTTACCTACGTGACTTTACCGAAAAAACTAAGAGTATGAATCCTTGCAGTCACGAAAACTTCAAATCTAGAATTAAAGCAGCTCTCTTCGCGACATTTCAGAAGGGTGCCACTTTCGCCGATAAGACATCATCAGCGTGAGGTTCCGCCACACATTTGAAACCATCGTTGGGGTTTCACAGCACGACGATGACGGTGGTGATGATGGTGGGGGTTGTCACGTGTTTTGTGTTGTCGCGGGGCCGCACTAAAGCCACCAGGGGCCTTGCAATGCAGAACACCGGAGTCAAAGAATTGACGAACGTCTCGCGTCGACGCGCCCGCCGCGCTTGTGACCCACGGTTATGCCCGCGTGCAACCGTGCCAAAATATTGTTGCGCCCGCACGCTGGGCAGAAAGGTTATGCTTATTTGACCGGACGAATAAGGCCGGGCCCTGTTCGCCGGCTCCAGAGAGCATCGAAGCCGCGTCGTGAAAAGTAAAAGTGCCCCTGCGGTTTGCGCCGAGACAAATACGTACACACGGGGCAAAAACGTCAAAAGCGCTCATCCTGTAAAAACCTGAGCGAAGCTACGGGGAGACATAAATTGAAAATGTTTCAGTGATTCTCTCCCCTAGAATCGGGCCCCTATAATAAATTTCAGCAAAAGGAAATCCGAAAAAAGTCGCCGCGCATCGTAATCGGTTTTGGCTTCAATAATGCGGCAGCTGCTGAACACGAGAGCGGCAACAACTGCCAACACGCTCAGCGGGCGGCTGGACGGGGGCATTCAATACTCAATCACCTCTATTTTTAAAACGCAACACTCCACCAATAATAATTATTGCCCCACACCACGTGTGCAACGCAACAGCCGCTGCCGCCGCCGCTGCTGCTGCTGCTGCGCGTGCGTGCTCTGGAAGCGCCCCGTCCCATTCCTATCGCAGGTTACGTACAACGGCAGAGCTGCTTCTCATCAAACTTTGCGGGCACCAACTCTAACAGGCGTCACGCAGTGAGTGACGGGCCCACTAAACAGGCAGTGTCTGGCACCAATCAACCATAAGCGGTCTCTGGTGGAGATTCTAAACGGAGTGACGCGTGAGCGTCGCGGGGAGAGGTGACGGAGAGGTTAGCGCTACGAAGCCGGCCACCCGAGTTCGATTCCCGCTCACGGCCAACACCAGTGACGATTATCTGAACCGCTTCTGGGTCTCCCCTAGGTCAACTCAGACTCAAATAAGTACGCGTTAACATCGCCAATAGGGGGAGAAAGGCGGCCGGGCGTGGTGCTGGCCACCCACCCCCTCGTGTGCCACAGCGCCGGCCTTTAGACTGTTGGGGCACTTGCCCCCACAGTCTGTTAAGGCTATACGGGGGATCTTTGTCTGTGTTGCGTGTCCACGCGACGGGGCATGCAGGAACTATACTCTTAGTTATTTCGGTAAAGTCACGTAGGTAAAAAATGAAATTAAAATTAATAAAAATAAAACAAAATAAAACAATAAAATCACGACGTTTCGGAGGCAACACAAGTCTCCGTCATCAGGTGGGACCGTCACAGCCAGATTTGCTGCATCAAGTGAGGCAAGGATTCAAGATGCAAGCCCTTAAATACAAGTTGGGGGGGGAGGAGAGGGGGGGGGAGCTTATCAGAATGTGGTAGCCAATGAATGGAACATATCGGGAGGGCGGGAGGGCGGGAGGGGCTAGAAGAAGGTACTACCTCCACACAGGTCGTGGGCATCTGGGCAGGCTTGCCAAACACGTTGAAGCGGTACCATCCTGCGTCGAGGGAGTGGTCGCAGATGAGGTCCTGGATGGCCGACTGCTGCAGTTGTGTCGAGTCGAACTGCACGCTGCGGAATGGGCTGTCCAGCACCGCGTGCCCTCCGGGCTGGCATTCAGGAGCTAAGGAAACAGGTTGTTTTGTTTGTTAGAAAATGTTGTGTGCTTAGCGAGTTTCATTCTCACCCTTGGCTAACACCAGTGGTGAGTTCTGAATGGGTCTTGGGCCTCTCCTCTGCCCCCAATGTGCGCTGACAAGCGTGGTGAAGTATGGTCAAACGTGAGGATACCTTAATACAGCAGTCGACCGACAATGGGCTGCAAATTTCTACTTTATATTTTAATATGTGAGAGTTACGATTATAGAAAATATGGACAACGATGTTGGAATCTCCCTGTGGCCACAAGGTGAGCAGCTGACAAAGACCTTTGCTCATCTACGTGGCAGCTATAAACATGCACAACAGGAACACGTTTAGGTTTTTTTTGGGGGGGGGGGAGGGGGGGCGAGTGATTGTGCCTTACAAATGAAGTCTTTCAGAATTGAATTCCCAAGTCGCAAGACGCCACACGTGATACAATTCAACCTTAAGGCTCACCATACTCTTTGGTTCTTTCGGTAAAGTCACGTAGGTATAAAATAAAATAAATGAAATCACGACGTTTCGGGCGCAACACAAGCGTCCGTCATCAGGTGGGACAACACGGCAAGAAACAAAGAGTATGGATCCCTGCAATCACAAAAACTTCTAATCTAGATTAAGTCTCACCGCAGGGCGCGTCATAAACCGGGCCCCGAGTTACACCCGGGCGAGGACCGACTCCCGGATGAACCCGGCAAGGGAATCCAACTCGGGATTCCACGTTTGCCTCCCGCCCAGACGCACCCAGCTACGTCGAGGTGGAAGCTGTGCTTCACATGGCGGAGGGCGAGTATTCACTTCACGTTGGCTTGGAGGCGGTGTTGGAAAGCTGCGTGGATCAGTTTGTGGGATCGTCTGGCTTCTGGCAGAGTGTCTGCTGCGCTGTTGCGTGGAATGGATGAAGATTTACAGAAACCTATTTTGGTACACGAAGGTCGGTCATGTCACTAACCTCAAGCTGGAATTTTCAATTTTTTTCCCCATTTGAGTGAACATGTGGGTCAATTAATATAACAGCCTTGAGTTTAACCTTTAACCTCCTGGACGAGATAGCTGCATGCTTCTAAGAGCCGTATTATAAACGTAAGCTGTTGTTACTGTATTTTGAAAAGCGGCATTTGGGGCATTACAAAAACACGGAGCTAATTCAGCTGCTCACTAATTATCACGCCAGCTGACATCAAAACTGCAAACTTCAACATTCCGAGCGAGAGCGAGCGAGAAAGCGGGAGCTGGTTGGAGCAGGCTGACGGCAACTCACTCATTGCCTCTCCCTGGCCACGTGGGGGGGGGGGGGGGGCACGGACCACAGCTGTCGCGGCCAAAAAAAACCCTGCAACGTTCGCGTTGCTCATGACCGCCGCTGCAGATCCGTCGACACGACCACGACGACGCGTGGCTCGCTGAACGCCGACGAGACGTCGTCTCAAATTGGAAACGATTTTCCCCAACGTGGCTATTTTTTCCTCTTTCCAAATTTCTAAAAATGCTGCAGCAGTCGGAGTGGAATTGTTGAGTGGGGCTGTGGGGGTGGGGTGGTGTTTGTTGATGGTATTGTCTGATTTTTAATCAATCATCTGTTGATTTGCTGGTTAATTAAGGTGATCGCTTTCACGTGAAACAAATTAAACCAAAGGCTGCCGATTTGAAAACCTTTATTTGACACAATGATACTCGAGAAAACATTCTAAGTTTCCCAAAATAGTGGTGTGATTCGCTTTGGAAATCGGTATGTAACAAAACGGTTTAACAATACACAGCATTCCTCTTAAATCTGTACGGTTGGTAAATATGCCAAAGTGTGGCCGAGCAGAGAACTTTGCAGTGCTGTGAACACTACAACTGCAGCCCACACAAGACAATGCAGACACTGCATCTGAAGCCAATCGATCCTTCCCCCGCTTATCCGATAAGCGCGCTTGGCTACGTACGGTGCAAAAGAAGTTCAACATATATATTCTTGGTTCTTTCGGTAAAGTCACGTAGAAGGGAAATAATAAAATAAAATAATAATATTTATATATATTTTTTATTTTATTATATGAATCCCTGCAGTCAGGAAAGCTTTAAATCAAAAGTTCAACATACACACATACAATCGTACCGTGGAATGAATGAAATGCCTCGCACTGTTAATGCACGCGCCAACAGGCAGCGACCATCAAGTGCGAGTTTTCAATTTGGCCTCCCACGTAGAGAATCCCAGGCTCAAGGCAGCTTTACCGTTCGTCCCAGGGCCTGCGTGTTGTATTTCCCTGGCGGGGTTAATGCCGCATGCAGCTTCTCCGTGCTTTATTGGTACTGCGCGAGGGATTATCATTTCGTTTTCTACATTGCTGACCTACATTTGTGTTAAATTTCATTGTCCCACTATCTTCCACCTCCCAAGCAGTCCTGCAAACACTGCCCCTAGACGTGGGTATTATCACGAGAGTAAACTTTCACTACCACCTAATTGCCGAAACACAAAATAAATCGCTTATGCTTGGTAAAAGTTAAGAAATTACGGCGTCTTGCGGCGTGATTCAAGTGTCAACAAAAAACACGTAATCCTGATTTTTTTCTTAGAGTAAAAACATTCGGGGCAATCTTCCATTCCACAAACACTTTAATCGAGCCAATAGTCTGGGCTTGTGAGCTGCCCTCCAACCACTCTCGTCTCGCTCAGATCAGCAACACCTCCTCTCGACCACGCAGCCCTGCACTTGTAGCACGACCTTGCTTAAAACATCAAACATCAGCTAAAGGTGGCATTATGGCCAAAGGCACTGATGTTTAAAGGGGGCGGGGGGGGGAGCACAAACAAACGTTCAACGACTGTCACAATTTAAGGGAGTGAGCCCCTCTCTACCTACCTCCAACCCCTCCCCCCACCTTAGACGGACTGCCAATAGTCCCACCACTCGACAACTACGGGACACAACCGACTGCGCTGTTGGTAATCGCCTCCACCACGTCCAGGCCGCGGGTGCGTGAGTGGCCTTGCAGGCAACCTACATAATGCGCTTGTTTGGACAAACTGCGCGCTGTTTGAATAGAGGACGCACCCCACCCACACACGCGCACACAGAGCTGGCCGCGACTCACACGGGGCATTCACCAAGGCGTGCATTGTCACATAAACTACGTTCAAGCCCTGAAATTTGTTTTTTTTTCTTCCTGTCTTTCTTACAAACCGTAAATATTCGTTGCTCGTGAACTGCTCGGCGATTAAAGAGCAGTGGCAGGGCTTGTTGCAGATTGCTTACGGTTCGAATTCCAACGGCCGCCCTGGTTATCACTGCGGTGTGTAATAACCAATAACCACAGCACTGCTACGCGCCACTAGCTTCACAGTGCACGCCACAGACCCCCCCTCCCCCCCCCCGACGTTCTTCGCAAGAGCTGGTCATTGCGCGTCTGCGTCAGGATCCACATTTAAAAAAAATGTATACGCCTGCAAATGACTCAATCGGTTATTATGCACGGCAAAACATCGCCCACTACCGGCAGACTAATGCCCGGGTGTCACGCTTGCTTTTGCAAATGAGACTCATCCAGTTCTCACCCCGGTTCAGCGTCACATTCTAGCCTCAAACGTGTTTAGAACGCCCGGTTTGTTGTCGCGCTAACGTCAGCCACACAGCACTTGAGACCCACCTCTCCGCGGTGTGCACGCGCTGTGCGCGCGCGTGCTGGTGGCACAGCAGGGCATTGCCGCACGCTCGCGAGCGACAGCTGCGCACGTGGCGGTGCGTACACACGAGCAGGCACTGCACGTGGGTGCCAAGCACGTGGCGGTGCGTACACACGAGCAGGCACTGCACGTGGGTGCCAAGCACGTGGCGGTGCGTACACACGAGCAGGCACTGCACGTGGGTGCCAAGCACGTGGCGGTGGGGCGCGTTAACACCGCGCGCGGGCACGACGCGTGTGTCCATGGTGCGGGCGCGTTTGAGACACGCACGTGGTACACACACGTGCCGTACAACTACGCGTCGGACCCACGTGCCGACAGATCACGTGCTGACAGTACACGTGCCGGCAGTGCACGTGCCGAGAGGACAAGTGTTGACAGGGCACGTGTTACACGTGCCAGTAGTGCACGTGTTGCACGTGATTTTACCGAAAACACCTAAGAATATGATAGTACAAGTATTGACAGTACACGTGTTACACGTGCCAGTAGTGCACGTGTTGGCAGTACACGCGTTACACGTGCCGCAGTGCACGTGTTACACGTGACTTTACAAAAAAAGCTAAGAGTATGAGAGTACAAGTGTTGACAGTACACGTGTTACACGTGCCAGTAGTGCACGTGTTGGCAGTACACGTGTTGCCACAACAGTGCTTGCCATCCGTGCCCCCCCCCCCCACCTGCCCCCCCGCGAGACCTTTAAACCACACACACACCATGAAGCACGCTGGTGCCCATCTCGGCGTGAAGAGGAGGGCGATGATCAGAGGGAGAATTTTCTCGAAGAGGAACGTGGTGAAATGATGAGAATTGTAACGGAGGAGGAAGAGGGAGCTCGTGATTTCGTGATTTCGACGGGAGGAATATTTATCGGGGGCGATGGATGATGGATTGCTCGAGGATGGTGAAAGTTGAGTGCGAGGTGTGAAGAGTCACGGTGGCGTGGAGGGGTGATGGTGGTGGTTGACAGAGAGACGAGGCGTAGACGACGTTCAGAGTGTGTGTGTGTGTGTGCAATGTGCATGCGAAATGATAACGGCGTGCAGCGATCTAGCGATACGGTCATGACATGCAGAGGGATAGTGACGCGTGGAATACATTGACGCGCTGGGTATAGAGTGCTGATTAGTTGTGTCGGATGAATGATGAGGTGTAAGGGGTGAATGATGAGGTGTAGTGGTGAATGATGAAGTGTAGGGGGTGAATGATGAAGTGTAGGGGTAAATGATGAAGTGTAGGAGGTTCATGACGATGTGTAGGATGTGCATAACGAGGTGTAGGCGGTGAATGATGAAGTGTAGGGGGTGAATGACGAGGTGTAGGGGGTGAATGGCGAGGTGTAGGGGGTGAATGACGGGGTGTAGGGGGTGAATGACGGGGTGTAGGAGGTGCATGACGAGGTGTAGCCGGTGCATGGCGAGGTGGGTGCACGGTGATGGGGTGCGGAAGGCGATCCCACGAAGAGGACGATCTGGTGACGAAGTGCAATATGGACAGTGACGCGTGGAGTCTGAATCGTCCACGTGCTGAGTGTACGACCTGTGGAGGGGGGGTGGGGGGGGGCAGGGGGTGAATGGCGAGGTGTGCATTCTGACGAGGCGTGGAGGTCGACGAGGTGCGGTGGAGGGAGCACGGCCATACCTGCTCGGGCGATGCTCGCCCTCCAGCAGCAGAGCCAACACAGCCAGGCGAGCTGGCGGGGTCCAGGGGCCATGCTTCTCTCTCTCTCTCTCGGCAGGCCGCCTCTCTCTCTCTCTCTGCACATCACTCCCCCCCCTCCTCCTCCTTCTTCCCGCTCCTCCTCCTCTTACCGCTCCTCCTCCTACTCCCGGCCAGGCCGATCAAAGTGCTTCCACGGCCCGAGCTGACGAGCGTGGAGATCGGCCGAGCAGTGCGGGTGGGAGGGGGGTGGGAGGGGGGTGGGAGGGCAGCGAGTGGGGGGGATGGAAGGTGGAGATGGGGGGCAGGCAAAGGTGGTCGATGATGGTGGGGGTGGTGAGGGTGAGGGTGGTGGTGGGGGGTGGTGAGGGGTGGTGAGGGTGGTGGTGGGGGGTGGTGAGGATGGTGGTGGTGGGTGGTGGTGGTGCTGTTCAGGGTTGTCGCCGGAGGTTGGTGAGGGTGGTGATGGTGGTGAGGATAGTGAGGATGGTGAGGATGGTGAGGATGGTGAGGGTAGTGATGGCGGTGAGGATGGTGAGGATGGTGAGGATGGTGAGGGTGGTGAGGATGGTGAGGGCGGTGAGGATGGTGAGGGTGGTGATGGTGGTGAGGATGGTGAGGATGGTGAGGGTGGTGATGGTAGTGAGGATGGTGAGGGTGGTGAGGATAGTGAGGGCGGTGAGGATGGTGAGGGTGGTGAGGATGGTGAGGATGGTGAGGGTAGTGATGGCGGTGAGGATGGTGAGGATGGTGAAGGTGGTGATGGTGGTGAGGATGGTGAGGGCGGTGAGGATGGTGAGGGCGGTGAGGACTGTGACGTTGGTGAGGACTGTGAGGATGGTAAGGATGGTGAGGATGGTGAGGGTGGTGAGGATAGTGAAGACTGTGACGTTGGTGAGGATGGTGAGGGTGGTGTGGATGGTGAGGATGCGGAGAGCTGTGGATGACGACGATGGTGGTGAGAATGAGCGGAGTGGTGAGGCGAGTGAGTGTGGTTGTGGAGAGCCGTGAGGTCGCTGACGATGGTGAGGTTTGGTGAAGTGTGTTTGTGGAGCAGGGTGGTGAGGGCAGTGCGTTTGGTGAAAGTGGCACTAGATGGTGATGAGGTTTAAAAGTTGACGTGGTTGGTGAGGGGGGGGGGGTGATGGTGAGGTAGGGTGGTGAGTAAGGGTAGCGCAGCTTGCACGTGTGGTCAGCGTGGTGGAGGTGATGAACGCGCAAAGATATTGCCCCAACTCCTGATGCTGCCCTCACTCAGAATCAGAAAACATATTAGACTGGAGAAATCAGATGAGCTATAAAGCTCTTTTTTACAGACGTCCACTCATCCATAGGGCACAGCTGGCATTGGCCAACTGCCCCACCTTCTCTCCTGGCCGCTACCAAACCCATGCTGCCCTCGCTAGAGAGTGGAGATTGTCGGATCGGCGTTCACACTTTCACGCCTGCCCTCACACCGTCCCCAGCAGGGGAGGCCGTGTTTGTCCGACAGTGAGGCGGTGTCCCCCTCGTACACTGGGCCAGACACATGGCACGGCGGTGGTGGTGGTGGTGGTGGTGATGGCGGTGGTGGTGATGGTGGTGGTGACCTCGGTTTGAAGGTGATCGCTTGCGAGGCCCAGGGAGAACATTTGCTATTTTAAACAACGACTGCATTTAGCGCACGCCAGTCGGAACACAGCAATTGTTCGTGCTCATTGCAGTTAAACAGCCAATTAAACACGGGACCCAGAAGCCATGAATAGTTTTGGTAACGAAACTCAATATTTTCTTTGGCTTCAAATGAACTTAAATTGTTCAAGAGCCCGGTGAAGTGCCACTCGATACCCCCAAATCATATCTAATTGACATCACCTGTTAATGTTTCTGTTTTTGTTTTAGCAAACATATGGCAAAAAAAGCAAATGAAATAACTGCAGATTCTGTTCATGTCGTCGCATTATGAACACAATTGCGTGGTGGCAGTGAATGCGCTAATGTTTAACTGCAGCGTTGACCCAGCGGGGTCAATGGAACACTTCTGCGCACATTGACAGGGACAGGTGTGCGTTGTCATATAAGTGGCCAATTGTGACTTTCAGCGGTGAATCCACAAAGGGCGGGTGGCGTGCAGGGTACAACATCTTGCGACTCTCCATCACCGTGCCACGGAGTAATCCGCCACTCCTGTGTGGGCTTAATCATTTCCCTGCGCAGAGATCGGTTAATCCAGGGAGCACTTGTGGAATTTTGCAGAGGCAAACAATATATAAAGGAAGACGGTTTGCGTGTGCAATACTTGGTGCTGGTAACCAATTGAATGGAAACGTACAGATAGTACAGGGTGCTTCAAATAATTGTTAACACTTCTGAGAAGTTGTAATAAAGTCACGAGAAATGTGCCACCTCTGGCGATCTGGAGACCACCTTGAGAAGATTCCAGGCAACGTGTTGACAATGATGGCGAATAAGTGGAGTCTCTGTCTTTTTGAAGTTATTAACATTACATTCGTTATCATGTTACAGTGTATTATCCGATCTTTTTCCATTAAAAACGATAGTTCCATATCGGTGTTCATATTTTTTGAAGCACTCTGTGTAATAACACAGACTTAGTAGATCGTAATAACAACCAATGGAAATGCGTTTTAAGAAATTATTAAAGAACGCATCTCCGATTCGCACGGTTGCCTGAGTACGGTATGACAGAAGTTCAACATACATACAATGAATGAGAATAACAGAATTGTAAGTTCGCTCAACAATCAAAATAATCTGACGGGGAGAACGCAGCCTTAAACGGCACAATGTATACCTTAGGGCAATTGCTGAAAAGATAAGTTGGGTATCATTTGACCTTCATTCTGCATCGTAGTTGTTTGTCCTGGTAAAACACGATACAAAATGCATTGACAAAACTGTTATTTTAAACGACTGAGTTATGGAAGGGATCATGTAAAAATGCAGTGCGTGCGTACACAGATGGCGACCCTGTCGGCCACAGTTAAGCCGCAAATTGTGTTTATCTAATCCCGCATTGTCGAAACGGTACAGACGTAGAAATGCTTCACCGACCGCCCCTGATTATAATCTGCTGCCCCCCCCCCCTCTTCGAGTGCTTACTGCCAATCATGGATGTGCTGCCCGAGTTGTCTTTACACGATAATGCCTCTGCTCGTCGTGTCCGATATTCACCGCGCTGCTGAATTTTCTTCCCACGGTGTGCGGGTCATGGGAGGGTGGGGGGGCGTGCTGATGGGGGGGGGGGTGCATAGATGTTGGGAGCAGAGTAGAGTACAACAACGATGTATCCCGCGGCAGGAGCAGCCTAACAACGCCAGTTCCACGCACGGTGATTATCCCACATCCAAGCACGATCCAGTCTCAACCCTTGCTTAGCTTCCGAGCTCTGACGAAATCGAGTGCATTCTGGGTGATTCGGCGTACGGGGCTTTCAACGCAATGAGACGTGTTGCGACGTGCGGTGATGTGCGTTGCAGTCCGCTATTTTCTTTTGCGGGGGGGGGGCGAGATGCAGACTGATCTTGTTACGCACCCCCCCCCCCCCGGTTCCCCGAGCTGACTTTTAACAGCAGTGATCTATCACTTAGAGCCATCTCCCTTGTCTCCCGGGGGGCGCGGACAACATTAGATGTAACCATGTGGCAATGGTGCCGCACCGACGCCTCGTGGCACACACAGTTACTTCATTGGCTGTATTTGGACAGCTGCTGCCTGGCCAAGTTGTACCTGAAAGGATGGGGCCGTGTGATTGCTTAATGGAGCTCCGTTCGCAACGCCGCAATTGGATTTTAAAATTCGCGGGGGGTGTTGCGCCCATCGCAATGCTCAGAGGCTCGGCTCGTGTGTTCCCAAACGCGTCGTGCTTCTGCGGCCGTCTGGAACGCTCTTCCTTCCGATATTCGGAAGCCACTGGAGCTACGCACGTTGAAATCGTCTAGATTGAAATCGCATTTCTTTAGAACTGCTTTTTGTGTTTAGTTTCTTGTTCTTCTTCCTCCGGCACCTATTAGCACAGTCGGCGACGGACGGTGCAAAATAAGTTCCACATACATTCAAATAATATTTTTTTCCTGGGTTATTTGCCTTTTCAAGTTGGCAGGGCTTTACGTTAATTGATCAAACAATAGAAACACGAAAGGTGCGGTTTTGCTCGTGCAGTATCGAGTCAATAAAATGTTATTCGGTAAATAAACTCGTTTTAATATTCAAAGGCCAATCTTAAAATATCTACATTCATGTTTCGCTCCCAACCACAAAACACAAGACTCAACACATTCGTCAACAGCACTGTGTGGCTCTAAAAGCAAATAAATATATAAATATATAAGGTGACGTTACGAGCAATGGCACTTCATCACAGCACATACATCCATTCATAATTATACGTACTGAAGAAGGGCCATTAACTAAGACGTCGCCTATTATATACACACAGTATTCCCCTTTGAGACCACGGTGTTATTGACGGATGTGTTAAAGTCACTTTGTTCACCGTGCCTGTGCACCAATGTCAATGCAGCATCGCCGCCAAGTGATTGTGTCGAGAACGAGAGCTGGCTCCGCGGGGGGTGACGCCCAGAAGCTTTCGGGCAGCCGTACTCCCAGCTGTGATGATAGCGTGTGGTCACGTAACGAGTCAAAGGTCCAAGCACGGACAGTCAGGCCATGCACCAGGAGGCTTCCGCTGTTTTCCACCTTGCTCACAATACCACCACCAACACTGCAGGCCCGCACCCTCCGTCAGCACGGTTGGCTAAGTACGGCGCGATAGAAGTTCAACGCACGTGCTTACATACAGACACTTCCCTTGACGATTCTTCACGCGCACTGCTCCACTTTGTAATTCCCTCCCATCGTTTCGTGTCCCCCCGTCCTTCGAACCTCACTCGATTCAAGAAACCTGGTCACTCTCATCTCTTAGACCCTCAATGGTGCTGCTTGTTGCCGGCCGTTTTGGCGTTTGGGCACTGCGCCCAGCAACTTGTAATTCACAAAATAATAATAATGATAATAAAAACGCTCGCGGAGCTGTAGAGAAGTAACGTGTATTGTAGATTTGAAGCTTTCGTGACTGCAATGATTCATATTCTTGGGTTTTTTCGGTAAAGTCACGTAGGTAAAAAATGTAAA